TTATGTCACTCTCATCTTTTTATTGCCATTTGTATCCAGGCACACTGTACCGTCTGTAAGACTGATTGGACAGAAGGAGCCAGGATCAGCGTCTACAGCAGGTACAGAGTCAACACCTTGCTCATGGACACTTCAGCACTGCTGTTGCAGGAGGCTTTCTTAGTGTCTTGGACTTGTATTGATCTCAATCTTTTAATGAGAGTTGGCTCAACATTTTCCTTCCAGTCCAAAACTTTAAAGTGGTGATTTGATTGGTGGACAACATAGTTACTAGTAGTGCTGTAATTTCACTTAGTGTGAATGTTGATGGTTTATTTTTGTGACATGACTACTTCCTGTCAGCTCTTTGGTATCAAACAAACTCAATTTCTCCTGACCGACTCTTTACCCCCTTTGGATGTGGTCATAAATGATCTCTTTGACTTGAATGTAAATTAATACTCATCTCTTTAAGAAACAGATACACTGAGACATGAGCAAACACTCTACTACTTAGAGGCTCCAAATATTAAATTGATTTAGTCTGCTAGACACTCTAATGGCCTCCAAGTTTAGTTACATCATTACATAGCTGGATTAATTAAGCGAAGCTCCTAAATGACAGCTGAAGGTACAAATCCTGCCTCTGGCTCCAACCATCTGTGCTGAGGTCCCGTGGAGTTTACATCACTTCTGTCTGTACAGTGCTGTGAGGAGGAGCGCTGCATCATTAACCTCCACTGTTAGTCATACAGATGCAGATATTAGCATCAGGCCAGAACCAGGAGGGAAGAGGAAGCTTGAGTATTCTAAAACACTGAGAGCAGGTGAGGGCGTAATAATGAAATTGAATCATCCTCCAGTTATATAACATCCACTGAGTTCAATCTGAACCAGAAATGCAGCAGTGCATCATCTTTACACCATTTTGTGTTCCATCTTACTGTGCTATCTGTGCGTTATGTGACATAGAGGGATGTTACATATTGTTGCTTGCAGCTACATTTTTGTTTGTTGTTCAGCTCTGGATTTGCCCACTACCTATTTTGTATTTGATGGTGTCATTATGCCAATGTCTTTCCTGTTTATCTCTGCTATGGGAAGAAGGGAGGGAGAGAGGAAGGGAGGGAGGGGATGCTCATGTTCATTTGTTTGTGTTATGTTGGAAAAATTGCAAAATCTATTAAACAGGTTTACAAAAAAATGCAGCAGTGAATTTCAGAATCTTAGAAGGATGTGTAATACATCAAAAATCAAAGTGAATAGAGCTGATTTGCAGACTTGCTCTCTGAGCTTGTTCTCATTTGAGTTACATATGTATATGTTTTGTTTACTGGTCCCAGTACAACAATGTAAATCTGTACATGTCAGTGGGACTAATAATAAACTGAATTATTACTTCATTTTTTAAGTGTAGTATGAATCTGAATTAGCAGATGGTGGCACTAGTGCATTCACTGTGAGGACAAAAATGTTTGTAAACGAGTTTGTAATCGTGAGAACAAAGAGACCAGGATGTGCAGAGACAGGAGTGTGGAACTAACCCTGAACCTTTGATACAACCTTCCTCCTCATCAGACCATTACCAACCACTGATGTGTGTTACAACATAACTTTGGACTTATAGCGAGGCTCGGCTCCACATCAGCACCATGATACTTCCCAAGGGAACCTTTTCCGAGGTCAGAGTACACCGTAGTATGTTGAAGTAATAGTGTTCACCAATTATCCTTACAAATGTGACCACACATTTTCCTTGGGATGTTCATGCTCTTTATGACCCTCCTGGCTCCCCGTCCACATCAACTTTCTTATAATTGCTGAATGCCAGTTCCTGCTGATTGTGATTTTACCAGTACATTTTCTCAGCATTGAGAGGCTGCCAATATATTCCAGCAGCTGCCAACTGAGCCAAACCATTTGACCACAAACACACTCTTATTTACTGCAAGGTTGCAAGCAAACCTACTGCAGTGGAGTCGCAGTGAAATTTAAAGGTCCAATATAGTATAAAGGTAGTTGTGGTCCATGTGTTGTTTGATTATAAAGCGGGTCTATGTTCTATATTAATACTGTGAAAGTATCAAAGCCTCCTCTTCTCTCATTGGCTCTTTATGTGTGTATTTCTGATATATGGAAGTCACAAATACAATTCTTTTTTTTTTTTCATGTCCAGTGTGCTTCCATAGAGGAGATCATGTGACCTGTTTCATTTCACACACTGGTTCGCCTTTGTGTGTGCGTGTACATATATGTGCAGTCAGCATGTTTTTTTTATTACATGTTTCCATCTTGTCAGCATGGCTCTGTGGCCCTGTGAACAAAAGACACAGTGAAGGGAAAATAGCAGGTATGGATTATTTTTACTGGATGAATTATAGATTAATCCCAGCATGCAAATGTCCTGGTGTACTGCTGTATGTGTGTGTGTGTTGCTGTCCTGAAATCCTTGGCAGATTGATGTCTGTGTGTGACCTGCAGGTCATTCCCTTGTTGTAAGTCATGGGATCAGTGGAGCTCTGCACTTTCACTCACGTCTGTCACCCTGGGACACACACACACACACACACACACACACACACACACACACACACACACACACACACACACACACACACACACACACCACACCACACACAATACACACCGAACACACTCTAAGCAACATCCACCCACAGTAACCAGTACAAACCTATACATTTAAATGCTCCAGCTCATCTATAATTCATATCAATATCATATAATTTACACAATCCATGTCAACCCCGCCCATGCCTTTCGCTCGGGGCTCTAACTCTGTTCCCTTTCATATCATGAGTAGTTTGTATTATTATAAAATCTATACCTGTGTTTTTGTGAAACCTATCATCAGCATGCAGTGCCTCCCGCCAGTGTGTGCCTGGGGAGCAATACAAAGTGCGTGACTGCAGGAGGTCCCCTCGCCCACGGGTGGTGCTGCTCTCCCTGCTGCCTTAGGACCAGAGCACCATCTGCTGGTCACAGACATACCACCTCTCCAGCAGCCCCGTGCTGGAGCTGTGAGAAGTGGAGAGAGCAGGGTGTGGTCCACTGACGATGGAGCTGTATTTTCAGTTGAAAGACAAATATGTGGACCATGAGTTCTGGTTCCCAACCTGAGCTGACAGAGAGTGTCACCTTGTCAGGCCTCTAAAAAGAGTCAGATGAAACCATGTGCGAAGGAAGGAAGGAAGGAAGGAAGGAAGGAAGGAAGGAAGGAAGGAAGGAAGGAAGGAAGGAAGGAAGGATGGATGGATGGATGGATGGATGGATGGATGGATGGATGGATGGATGGATGGATAGACTGATAGATAGATAGATAGATAGATAGATAGATGGATAGATGAGATGTTTGCTGCACCTGTAGCTGCTTCTCTGTCCTGCCAGATCGTGTGGAGAGGAAGGTTGGTATTGTCCAAGATGGCCCCCACAGTCCTCAGTGAGTCCAGACTCCTGCCAAGCGCAGACCCAGCTTTCTGTGCTCTAAACTCACAGACACACATATGCAACAGCTTATGAGAGGTCACAAGTAGAAATTTCATTGCATTTTAAGGGTCATAACGTAAAAAAAGTTTATCTGTGTGTCTGTATGATTTTTGGAAACCTAAATAGGGATAAAAAATTCACCAGGGCTTTTACCACAACAGGAGCAGTGATGACGACAGTTAGAGGGAACTTGTGTCCAGCTGTATTGTGGGGAAAAAGCCTGACACAGTTAGCTAACACATGCTCAAAAGGCTCAGCAACAGCTGGGATGAGAGACAGTGGTGGCATGGTTTGGCAGATCTTGTAATACTGCTTCACATCCTGCTGCACACAAAACCAGAGCCAAGGTTCACCAGGAAGAGGAGGTAGACAGTTTTCACTATTTTAGAAGTTTTAGAAACTGAGTCTTTTAATTGAAAAAGATAATGGATGGATTGGTATAGATGGATTAATTAGTAATGAAAGTAATCATTAGTTTCCCTTGTTTGTCTACTTTTGTTTTTTTTGTGCACAGAAAAGAGAACACATCCTTCCTGAAGGATAAAACAGAGCTAAAACATAGAAAAAAGAGTAAAACGTTCCCACTGACAAAGACTAGATTGGCCTTATCTAGAATGACACTGGCATCAAGTACAGTCATTAATACGCCTACATCAAACGGCAGATGATTCCTCATTAAAAGGAAACTGCAGACATCAGTAAATGAATGTTCTGTACAGAGAAAACTGGACGCGCCAGGGTTTCATCTCTCGTCTTTTTAGTTCCCATTAAAACATCACACACTGGCCCCAGTGTTAGCCATGAGTAGTAATGATGTCACTTCATGGGATATCATTAAACAGAGGTCTGTTTGATGATGGACTTTGAAACATGATGTTATTTTGTTCTGTGTGTGTGTGTGGTTTTTTTTTTTTCCAGAGCCACCAAAAAAGCTTGATGTTGACCTTTGACCTCTGCAGGCTAGTCATTTCTGTTTCTACACTGCTGTCCTCAGGGTGTCATTGTAGCTTTGTGGCAGAGGACTTTAGTCATTAGAGCCTTCTGACAGTAAACACACAGTCCCCTGCAGCCTGTCAGGTCACAGCGTCATGTCATCGAGTCTGGACACCACAGAGGAAGAAAAATCACCTGGGAAACATCACCTGTTAGGGAGCCATGGTGCCTTGTTAACATCCCATCTGATCACATTTAGCTACAGTGATAACCTTGGACAGGAGCAAATGCATCCTAGGAAATAATATTTACTTGGCTGTTATGAGATCTGCTGCTCCTCTATTGCTTCCTGTTTATCTGGTGATTTGTTGACTGTGAAACAATGATTGGGACAGCTGTTGCTGTGACAACCAGCGGCCTGTGAGACCAAACAAACAATGTAACAGTCACTGATTGTTACTGGCATCAAACAGAGACAAACAATATTCACAATGTCATTGCTGAGATTAACGAAAAGGAGATGAAACCATCATTTAATGAAATCACATTTAGGAAAATCAGGAAATTACTTCATCATGCTCGTGTTTCAAGTCACAATCAATCAACAAACACTGAAGTGTCTTTGAAAGTGCTGCAGACTGAAATGATCTAAAATATATGATATGTTACATCACTATATTGGCAATACATTTGCAAAATACGGGAAAGCAAAATATGTACCAAACAGAGAAGAAAGTAGAAGAAAGGATTATAGGAAGGAGGCAGGGAACAAAGCAGGCTGGGATAAGAGAAGAAGGGAAGGGCAGAAGGTGAGGATGTTTGGAAAGGGAGATAAGAGATTAGGGAGAACAGATTCAGTCCAAAATCAATAACAAATATTGAACCGATGAACATGTGAAATAAAAACTTGTGAATTATGTTTAATTCAATTTTTATTTAAATTTTTTTTATGTCTGTTGAGAATTCTGGTAAAAATGATAAGGACAAATAATATATCCTGAAGAGCTGATGAGAATGAGGATGATGGATGAGCATAATGTTTTGTCTTTTAATCAGAGTTGGGAAAAAAAGGATGTAATGACATGTCCATGATGGCATGAATGAATAAATAGAACCCTGGAAGACGACAGGAAACAGGTTGGCCTTTGGCATCAGGTGATTGCCCTTGTTGCTCTCTGAGGTTTTGACCTTGAAGAAAAAGAGAAAGAGAAAGGGGAAGAAAATAAATATATCAAAAACCAACAAGGAGGAAAAATAAAAAGCAAACTACGGTTCCATTTCCTCAGCAAAGCTCAGCAAATCCACTTCAGCCAGTGAACATGAGTCTGCTGGCTGTTGGCAGCGTCTCCAGGGAGCCTGCTCCTCCGTCACCACCGGAGGTCACTGCTATCTCTCCCAGACACATGTTAGCTTAATGCCACACCTCCCTCCTCACACTCTACATGGCTTTTTCCTCAATCTCCGAATTATCAGCAGCCCCCCCCCCCCCCCCCCCCCCCCCCCCCCCCCTTTCTATCAGCCACCCTTGAATTCCTGCTCGCCTGGAAACTGCTCTATCTCTGTGCTTCACCTTACTGCTCTGCTCGTCCTCTCACTCACTCTCCCTGTTTATATTTTCACAGCCTGACTTATCTCCCCTCTCCCCATTTTGAGCTGAACCCAGCATCTGTGTACACTTGATGAGAAAGTAGGGGAAATCTAACCTTTTTTCTTCCAATCTACCTGTAAAACTGAGCATGTCTGCTGTTTGTAAGTGCTCAAAGTCATAAAAATTGGAGCTGCCAATCTTCTACAGGTTGCTATTGGACAGAAGTGCATTTAGATCTATTTTGTACTTGACTGTAATGACTACATTATAATGATTGCCTTGTAACTCAAAATGATCACAATTTCAAACCACTGTCAGGTCAGTCCTCTTCATTTTGGAAACACAACCTGAGACTGTGTGAGGTTTGAAGTCAGCAGTCAGTTAAAATGCTGGATAACAACTGTGCCAACAACAAGTTTGAGAATCAAAGTTCATTCTTGACTTTGAAAATACTATTTTGACAGGTAAAATCTTAACTCAATGTCACTTTACTAACTTTTTCTTTCATTGCTGTTTGGGCCACATGATGAAGTCATTCATACACTGAATAACTGAAGTGTGATTTCACTTATGATTTTAAATGCAGCATGGCTTAACACAAAACTGTTCTTGAAATTGTTGAACTCATTTTTAATGTCAGAAGGGATTTACATTTTGACTACTTTGGCACGAAAGACTTTCACAATTAAATGTAAATGGACTAGTACTACTACTCAGCACTTTACAATTCACTCACACCCGTACACACACTCATACACTGATAGAGCAGCCATCAGAGGCATTTTGAGGTTCAGTATCTTGCCCAAGCACGCTTTGACATGTGGATTGGAGGAGCTGGGAATTGAATCCCTGAACCTCAGATTAGTGGACGAGCCACTATCTCCTGAGCCACAGCCACGTGAATGCTTCAGATTGTTAATGTATTTCAGTGTAGGTCAGTGGGATCTGTATAGTGCAGCACTAGAAGTTCTCTGTATGTTGTATGCATGTTTTGTTTTGTGTAGGTCAACAGGAAAGTCATAAATATTCATTCTGAAAAAGAGTCTTTGTCAGACGTCTGCTGCTGCCTGATTAGTGAGCTGGTGTCATGACAGAGCTGTGATTGATAGCTCACTGACAAGGAGGTCATTTTACTGCTGCCAACGTTTATTTTGATTTCACCAAGGTACATTAACACTCAGACATTGGTGGGTGTAATGTGTCTGGCTGGCGGCCCGAAAACGCTCGGCTCTCCAGGGATCAACAGGAGCAACAACCCGGAGAAGAAAAAGACGTTTTTATCTCAGGCAGCGGACCAATGAGGAGTCATGGTGACGCTGCGATGAGAAGGGTGTGTATGAGTGTGTGTCTGACAGCTGTGCACGCAGGGGAAAACAACTACACATCTGTATTATGTTCACACACACACACACACACACACACACACATACATACATACATACATACACACACATGTGCACACACACACACACATACACATACATACATACACACACGTGCACACACACACACACACACACACACACACACACACATACACATACATACATACACACACATGCACACACACACACACACACACACACACACATACACACATACACACACTGAGCTGGAAGCCTGAGCTTAAACAGCTTCTTCTTTGTAGAAAAAAGGAATGTAATGAAAGTAAACATGGAAATGTGATTGTCACCTGAGTTTTAAATGGTAATTTCTAAAAGTAAAGAAGGACACACGACTGTCCTCCACTCATACACTGATCGAAACACACCCAATGAGTTTTCAGTGGTGTGAGCAGGTTTGCTCTGAGCACCAGCTGGAGGCGGAGCATGGACCTGGCTCCCTGTGGTTACTGCTGCAGCTGCTCTGAACGAAGTTAACTGGTTAATTGGCTCAGAACAGGTGGAACATTTACAGTCTGCACACTACTTTCTGTGAGACTATGCCACTGAAATCGACATCGTTTTTTGACACTGAAAATCTTTTATTGTATTGTGTCTTAAACTTAATAATATTTCATTAGGTTTTTTGTCGCCTGAGTCAGTGTTGAGTTAAGATGTGCAGCTATGGCTTGTTATGGTCACAATACTGTTTTGATTACTATAAAATAAGAACACATCGTAAAATGAAATCTTCACTCACAGTAGGAACGTGTTTTTCCTGAGAAAAAAGTTTAAGGTAGAAAAAAATAGTCTCTAGAGTTTGTGGCTATTTCTCACAGTTTTTATAAGCATAGCATAGCAAGCAAAGCATTTGATTATCCTCATGTCGAAATAACAAACCTCTTGATTTTATGCAGTTTAAAACAATTATATCCCGGTTTTATAGGGTACTGATGTATTTTACTGCAGATACTCATCATGACATGCAGTGAGAAAAAAACACTGAACTTAGCTAAAAAAGAAAATGTAACATGAAAAACATTGGAAGCCACTTGCTTGAAAAGAGGGATTTTTACCAAATACGCTTTAGATTACACTTCAGTCACACACATACTGTACAGACACACACACACACACACACACACACACACACACACACACACACACACACGCGGCGCTAACCCACTTCAGAGTCCCAGGCAGACTCTCAGCTCCTCCAGCGTCAGGCCTCGGTCTCCGTCTCTGTCACAGTACTGAGCGAACTTCTTGGCGCACCGTCGCGGCTTCAACCTTCGTCGCAGGAACTGACGAAGGGGTCGAGCCTCACGCTCACTCAGCACCCCGCTGGAGTCCACGTCCAGCTGACTGAAATGCCACTGCAACACCTCCTCTGGTCTAGAGGAGTCCACGGCCTCCAGAGTAGTAGAGGGAGCAACGTTCAGAGGTGAGGAGGAGGAGGAGGAAGATGAGGAAGGAGTGGTGGAGGTTGGAGTGTTTGAAAATGGAGAAGGAGCATTGGAAGGAGGTGTGTTTGGAGACCTGGTGGAAAGACAAAGCCCAGAGCAAACCCAAAGCGTGAGAGATTTTGTTGAAACCAGTTTCAGTCGTCTTGAGAAACTAACTAACATCAGGATTTCAGGTCAGCTCTTTAAGAGGGATTATTGAATAAGACGTTGGCATCTTCAGAGACTTTCTGTGGCTCCTGATAAAGTCTTCCTGAGTGTTTGCACCTCAACTACATTTAACCCAACACTTCTATTCACAGTTCATCTGAAGAACTCAATAAATATTAAATATCAAATGTCACCAGAACGTGGCAGCCTGCTGAAAAACAAAGTCAGCTAAACAGGGAGAAAAAACCACAGATTCAATTTCCTGTATCAGACACAAACAAACCTGAAATTCATTAAACAGTAAAACCAAAGATTTCAGGAAGGGGAAAAATGATCGCTGTGAAACCTGAGCATTGTGTGTGTGTGTGTGTGTGTGTGTGTGTGTGTGTGTGTGTGTGTGTGTGTATGAGAGAGAGAGGAACCAGAGAGAGAGAGCCTTTCACTGCCAAGAGGAGAACATAGAGAAGAGTCCCCTCAGCCAGCTGATCCTGAGGCTCAGCTCCTCCAACAGCACCAGGCCTCAGGACAGCCATCACACAATCTGGACCAATCAAATTACAGCTCAATAACAAGAAAATCACATTAACTATTGGACATACGCCACAAAAACAAACAGTACACTGCAGGAGACTATCTGACCACCGTGAGGGATCAGACACTGAGAAAGACCCTGACTATGTACAGACTCAGTGAACACACTGAGGACATAGAGACTGGCTGACACAGGCAGACCTGGCTGCCAAGAGAAGACAGGCTGTGTCAGCTCTGTCCACAGAGACAGATGGAGACAGAGCAACACTTCCTGCTACATTGTAGCACATATGAAGACAACAAAGTTCTTCTCAAAAGTTAAATGTAAATTTAAAAGTTTTGATTGTGTCCAGACTAAAATGCAACATCCACTTGGAGAAAACATTGTCAGCGCCATAAAAGCAGCAAGATACGTGATTTATTCTACTACATAGATTATATGTATATGTATGTGTGTGTGTGTGTGTGTGTGTGTATTTAAAACATACTGAATTGAATTGAATTGAATTGAGAGGGAGAGGCATCTGTTAAAACACAAAATGGTCATTTTCATGATATAGACGGAGTGAAGTGAAGGATAAAACAAAGATGGATGAAAATGAGAAGCGGTGAAAGAAAAGAGAAAGTTATGAAGATGAAAAAGTGAGGGACGCCCCAGGAGACATTAACAACACTCAGTCCTTACTGCAGCAGCCCAGGTTTGAATCCAGACAGCCCTTTGCTGGTCCTCTCTCTCTCCCTGCCTTCCCTGTCTCTCTCTACTGTTTACATCTCATTAAAAAGCAGAAATGTCAAGAAAAAATAGAAGATAAAAAAAGTGAGTCAAAACAGAGGGATGTTTTTTAAATGCCCTGAGAGAGAGAAACAGATGGAGGGAAAGAGGTTAGTAGTGGACTAACGTGTTGACTGGCACAGAGAGACAGAACAGGGAAACAGATGGATTGGTTCTGTTCCCTTCAGTTTAGTTCAGTTAATCAGGTACTTGATCAGATCTGTGCTGCTCTCTCAAGTGTGAAATTGGTTTTCATTCAGCATTCAGAGCAGTGTCTCAGCACTGCTACATGACAGAGGAAGAGTTATGCATCCACTGAAGTCCAACATGTGGTAAGTAAAGACTGTATAATTTAGCCTGAGTTAGAGTACGACGAACAGGTTCCCACACTGTTACTACGTCAAGTTAAACAAGCAAACACACAAGTACAGATATGATGCACATTTCTGCTAAATTCAGAGGGTGGTCACAGTTGGTGGCAGTAATGTGCTGTAAAGTTAACAAGGAGGCAACAGGAAAAAAACAAAGGAGAAGAGGACTGTAACAAGATGATGCCAAAGACAAAGCTTCAGAGCAATGAGGGCAGTTTGGTGAGAAATATTAAATATTAAACAAGATATGTTTATTTATCTTTAAGGCACCTTTAATGCAGAGCTTTAGATTCTCAAGATACAACAAGTCATGTGTATTCCCTGATCTGTTTATGTTAATCAATTCATTATGTTATGGTGAAAAAATCATTTATTTTGTCATGTAAACCCATACCAGATTTTTATTTTTTTTTAATTGCACTTGTCAAAGGTCACCCAGTGCAAACAGCATGCTGTAGAGCATACCCAACAATCATCACATGAAGGAGCCATTTAAATCCAGGCCAGCTGTATTCAGGACGCCTGCTTCTCTTGAATGATCACTAAGTAAAAACAAACTGTGGCTGAAAACACTCCCCCACTCAGTCAATACTCCCTATATAATTAGCACCCTATAGTGATTTTGGACACAGCCTTGAACATTAATCACTCCTACATAGACTGCTACAGTGCACCTGCTGTGATGTACAGTACACAGATTTACCTGTAGGGACTCCCAGCATGCTCTGCCTCCAGCTGCAGAGCTCTGACCAGACTCTGTAGGAACTGGTCCTTACGGGCTCCAGGACACCCTGTGGGGACAGAATAGAGAAGACTGTTTAAGTCTGTCTGTGGCCGCTCCACATGACAACAGTCTACCCTGCTGCAGAGCGCTTGATCAACATATTGACTTCCCTCCTGTTCCATGTCTGCTGCTCTGTTTCCATCAACTCCCTCAGGGTTGGGGACACACTGAATCACTATGTTTTATAAATTGTAAATGAAGTAAACACGACAATGCATTTACATTTAAAAAAATACAGATTTTTTTTGGTAATTTTAGACACTGTCATATTTACCAGGCAGAGGTTTTTCCCTGAGCCTCCTGTCTGCTCTGTCTGGATCCTCCTCTGCCCCTGTGCAGTCAGGGATACGATTCCTGCAAAGAGACAAAAACAACAACTAAATTGTCAATTAACCAAGGAGGATAATTAAAGGATATATGAGAATTAGAAAGAACAAGAAATGTAAGTGGACTGCTGACTCTGCAGATCAGAAATGAATGGCCTGCATTCACATTTAAATACCTAGTGAGTAAATACACTGTATTATACCTTTTATTGTGTTATACTCTGAAGTGCTTCTAGTTGTTGGCCACCATATTTAGAACAACAGAAGTAGACTCAATATTAGGAACACAGTACAGTTCAACTGCACCGCAAACGACAGCCTCCGAACTAACAGTAAGGTGAAATAAACACACACTTTAAAGAGAAACACTATCACCTTTATAAAAGTATGATTATCATAGGGCTAGACTTTATTAGGTTGAGATAGGTGTACCTAATAAACTGGTTAATGTCTGGCGCAGCTGATCCAAAGCTAACTTTTTGTATAAGCAGTATATAAAGATTTAATCAATGTATATTACTCACTATCATGTAAAACACGTCTGAAGGCGGTCACATCGGTGGTCTACTTACTCACTGCCACTCTTTAGATTGAGCACAGAACATGTGCACAGAAAGAAAAGCAAAGTTGAATCCAGAAAGTCCTGAGGGAAATAATACTCTTAACACATTATAAAATATCACCACATGGGTAATTAGGAGTGTAGTAACTGGGCTGTGAGTTATTCTGCTCACATTTCTTCTCATCAAGTTAAATGTCATAGTGCATGTTGGTGGGAATGCCTCAACTGACCCTTGTGGGCCACTGTAGATATTTGTAGGAGTGGATTTAAATATCTGAATTTCTGAAATTGTGCACAAATGCAAAATGTATCTGGCTCTTCCGTATGCGACGCTACATTTAGATAAATCTGGTGATATAAAAATAGTGTTTATCTGCCGAGAGGTAAAACAAATGTATTATTTAATTGGTCAACTGTGAATTTCTTTCCCTGGTAAAGCCAATTAAATACTTTATAATACAATCAGAGAGAGTATATACACTGCTCGTCAAGAGGAAGACTAAAAAAAAAATCATGAGGCCGCAGGGAGTTTTCGTCACACCAGTGAACCAAAGAAAACATCCAACACTTTCCTCTCAGGAGCTTGTGAGCAGCTGAGCGTCAACAACACTGATAAAACCCCTGGAGAACAGAGCAGCCCAACCGCAGTTCATTCTGATTTGTTCTGTGTGTTTCCTTTAATGGAAGTCCACCTGGGGAACAGTCACAGTAACTGGTGTAAAACTGGATAATTAAGATGAAATGCTCCTGTGCATAATTACATCTGTCTCTGTATAAAGTCAGGAACGGATAAGAAAAGAAAATAATATAAGGAAAAGGAAGGGAAAGGGAAATAGAGAACATGAGAAGAGGAAGACAAATGGAAAGAAAAGAAAAAAGCCCAAACAAAATGCAACAGAACTGCATTTACAAATGAAATGATGAACTATAGAACTAACTGACTGACTGATTACCTTGCAGAGGTGCCTGATAGAGGCCTGCCGCTATCAACCCTGACACACCAGCAGTAACCTGTAGCAGTGTGACACTGCACAGGGCTGTAGCGTCCGTCTGCAGTGCATTCTGGGATAAAACGCTCTTCCTGCCAGGCTGAATGCATCTGAGAGAGCAGTGATGCTCGCTCACGCTCACATGTCTGAGGACTGTCTACACACACACACACACACACACACACACACACACACACACACACACACACACACACACACGATAGGGCAGAAAATGAGAAACACCTCTCAATATAATGCAGTCCAGTACAGCACCACTTGTCATGTTATACTTACAGTATAAATGTATTTGCAGAACACAAGAATATTTTTACACACACATGTAAACTCTTACCAGTGGGTCGTCTGACAGAGTTCATCAGAATGGTCACCCAAATAGGAGGAGCTGTCAGCTCTGAGGAAGAGAATATTAGAATGGTATTTGTGCTTGATTAGATGTTGTACAGAGGAGAGTGAAGGAAAACCGGGAAGAAATGTCTAAAAAATCTGAGAGTCAATATTCAAAAGTTCTTTAATGTGACGTCAGTAAACTATACTCAGCACTCGTTGGTCTGTGATCTTTTACACCAAAACAAACCAAAGGAACAAGAGAAATAACAACCTGGGCAATATGGATTTCTATATGAAGTTTTATCCATTAGTTCCTGTGGGAAGGGAAGTCACTATAATGGACATCAGTATTTTATTTAGCAGGAAACGAAACCATCTCAGTGATGGTGGAGAAGAAAATCTTCTCTATTGCAGCTTTGTGATTTTAATTGACAAGACAACAAAAATCTTGCAGTGTATAGTCAATCAACAATAGAGAGGTACTTTATCAGAGCATGGCTATATACAGTGTAACATCAAGGATTGATTTAAACAGTTTACCTCAGCTTAACCTTGAGATAATTGATTTCTACAGCCACAGTGGGGCAGTGGAAACAGTTTGTGAACACAACATTAACATATTATCACCTTTCAAGTTGATATGGTAAACTGATTAGCAAATTAGCATACACATCCAGCAGTTATGGAACGACATTATTGTTTGCAGTGTTTATCTCTACCTGATGAATGTAAGTCCAGTTATAAAATTATTACATTAAAAAAATATCAATTATAAAAAACTTAAAGAGGAAGCAAGATGTGGTGTGTATCTGGAGTAGGGACTTGGTTTGGCAGGTATTTGCTTTGGCCGTTGAGTGTGTCTATTGGTAAGTGGACAAACAACTGAAAGTCATATTCAGTGCTGGCACAATATGGTGATTTCCATGTAAGCATTAAATGACTGTGACTCATGGTAACTGTTTTTTATGTGTACAACACAGGTTTGTCACCTGCAGATTTTCTGGGGTCCAACGTCGGCCCAGGTTCACCAACTTCATCTGGAACATAAAAAAAGAGAGTGAGTGAATGTAACACGAATGAGGGAGGAAATCATCGAGACAGAGGAAGGAAAGCATGAGAAGAATCAGAGCAAAACGGAGGGAAAATTAGACAGAGAGAGACGTTTTCTTGGCATGTCTTGGCGTGTAAAGTGGTCTGTGAATGTTCAAGTTCCTGCAGGTGTGTCTGGCAGAGAGACGACCAGCATCATGCCAGAAAAAGGCAGAAAAAAGAGAAACATACAGAACAAACTTTTCAGTGACTGCATAGCACCAGTATATACAGTATATATGAGCATAGGTCCAAGTAGATATGTATAATGTGAAGACTAAAAAAAACTAAAAACATCTTTCTTACCTTTGATTGCAGTTGAATCTGCATCAGTGGTCTGAGCCAACTTGGTGATGTGATCTGTTCACGATAACAGATCATCTCAATGTGGAAAATACATATGATTTCAAGCAGATTCAGTTTAAGTAACAGAAATATGGCCTCAAATATTTGGTCAAGATCTTCCAGAAGCAGCAGGAGACCGTTCTTGTGATACTTTCATAAGAGGAGCCTCAGACTTCAGACTCCCAAATAAAACAGTGTAAACTGTGAAGGACTAATGTAAAATCACTTTCTATACTGTATGTTATTGAACTAATCCTCTTAGCAACAGGAAGCAACATATTTGTTGGAAAAGTGGTCTACAGATTGAAGTTAAATTTAACTACATTCATTTATTTGCTCAGTTCATTACATAGCATAAATATTCCACAGTTTGACAGTTAGATACTGATTTTTAAATTGCAGCTGATACAGATGGTGACAAATTAAAGGGAAAAACTAGAACATTACAAATGAAGATACTTCATACAGGACACAAGGCCTCACTGAATGGCTTGATGAGTCTGAAAACCACATGCTATTGCCCTAGCATTAACAGAACTCAACTCAGCTAAACACTATTTAAAGATTTTGGAGTGATGTGTTAGACAGCGCTCTGCACCGCCATTATCAAAACACCAAATGAAGGAATATCTTATAAAAGAATCTTTGGCAAAGGTATCTCTCCCTCTAATTTGCCACACATTTGTATAACTCTGAATAAAGTGTATCTGACCAGTGCAATTGGGGATCAGATGGAGGACTGAGGTCCCACTGAGGGGTTTGCCGTCTGGTGTGGAGCACCAACAGTATCCGGTCTGGTTGTGGCATTGCACTGGCAGGAAGTGACCGTCTTGATGGCACCGTGGCACAAACATTGCAGCTGCAGGACTGACATGGCTGCCACCACTGTGGGCGTTGGCCTCCAGGGCCTGAGCCCGAGCCAGCTGGCATTTGGACAGGCTCAGATCTAAAATGAAAGGGAAATGAAGACATTACAATCCCCCCGGCGATGGGGGGTGAGGAAAGTGTAATTTGCTATTCACTGACATCAACACAGACATGTATACCCTGCTGAACTCTCCACTATGATCTGCACTTCTGTTGACTTTGTCATTTCAATCAGAAAGTAGATCATAATATAATGAAATGAATAAATGTTTTTAATTAAATTTGAAGAGCATAGCCACACAAAGTCTTACATGTAGAAAAAGTCCATTGGATTTCTGATCACACTCAACATAATATGTGTGTGGACAGGGGTAGGCTTTTGTGCTTGTGACTACACATAATCAGTGATGTAGTGTTGGACTACAGTGCACTGTGAAGTGCTGTGCTGTACAACACATGCAGAATTAAATGCTTGGGTGCAGTTACTCTGTAAGAGTGTCATTATGTTGCATCCATTTGTATAAAACCCTAGTAAATCTGTGTCCTTTTATGTAAATATGTCCTTATATGTGTCTATTTTTGAATGTATGCCATATATAACATATTGTTTGATGCTTAAATTTCAAAAAGCCAGTCAACATATGAGCACCATGGGAGACATTATCAACAGGTGGTGATGACGAAGCAGTAAAGGTGTGTACCTGAGCAGTGAGCTCGTGGAGCGAGACGTAGCTGTGTGTTGATGCACTGTGCCCTCTGGAAGGCACACAGCGATTTATACAACCTGCCATTGCTGCCACACACGGCTCTGTGGCGCCCCCTCTGACAGTCCAGGACACAACCACGGGGCCACATGTTTTCTGTGATCAGGAAAGGCTACAAACACACAAACATACAAACATACATTCTCATGGTTTTTTACTGTTTCTCTGTTCTGCAGAAATTTCTCTTTTTTCTTGATCACTGCATAGGCAGAACTCTACTTTCTGTGTGTCCTTTTATCCTGTGACTTTCTGACTGTTTTCTCACAGCTGAGCGAGGCTGTGCACTAATGAAACTGTCCAGAGAACTGCAGGTGGAAAGAAGGGATAGAGTGAAAGGCATTAGTCCCTGCATGACTGGCCTGTCAGTGAAGGATAAATTGGCTTTCTATGTCATGCCTCTAAAAACTGGACTGAGGGAGAGAAACAAACAGGGAAGAATGGAAGAGGGTGAGAAACTGAGTGAGAAAGGAGAGAGGGTGTTAGTCACGACAGTCAACACATCTGAACATGAAGACATTTCAGGATGGGCGAGCAGAGGCAGAGAGTGGGGGGTTGGAGTCTTTCTTACACCTGACATTTTAACTGTGAGAGCTCCAATTTGGCAAACTAATGAGTGAATAAACTTTAATAATTGAGGTGAGGCTGGCAGCATCCTCCCTGCAGAGAGATGCTATGTGTCCAACTCTGTCCCTGCAGTCAGGAACTGTGAGAGGAGATTGGAGGGAGATTGGCTCTGTGCCTGACAGCAAGACTTCTACACAGGCAGCTTTTTCACGAATGTCAAACGAGTCTCTGACAGCAAAATATTTTGGAATAACTCTATTAAACTCTGTAACCAGCCAATAGAAACACACTGATCCTCTGCCAACAGCTTTTTATACTCTATGCTGCTATTTCCTCTATGGGCTGACTAATTCAAAAACATTTAAATATTCAGTAAATTGCTTCCATAATAATTTTGCCATAAGTGGGGAAAAATACATTTCAGCAGATTATTAGTCTCTATTAGCCTCTACACTGAATTTTGTTGGCAACCACCCAAAGCTACCAAACATATCTACAGAGGCTCAGAGGGGCCACATTTTGGATGGGAGAAAATATTTTCCATAACTCTTATGCAAAACAAAACAAAAGTTTTGCATCTGTCTGACCAAGAGCAACAACAAAGAGACCAATGGCTCAAATCCTCAAAATAAAAGATTCACTTTCAAAAATATTGAAATGAAAAATTGAAATTTAAAAATTCTTTATTGTGGCGCCTCAGTGGCTCACCTGGTAGACTGCGTACCACATAGGCTTAGTCCTGACTGCAGCAGCCATGGGCTTGAGTCCGACCCATGGCCCTTTGCTGCATGTCATCCCCTCTCTCTGTCTATCCCTGACTTTCCTGTCTCTCTCTCACTGTCCTATCAGAATAAAAGCAAAAATGCCAAAAAAAATAACTTACAAAAAAATTAAAAAAAAAATTCTATATCAAACTGCTTCTCAAGATCTGTACTGTTCTCACACAGCATCATTCAATCTGTAACTGTGTGAGAAATCAAATATAAGTTATCATATGTCTCCAAATTGTCTGTTGGATTTCATCTGTTACTCCAATACATTCAAGCTCTACAATGGTGACTAAGTGTTCATCATGCAATTCCTCTTTCTCTCTTTTCTCATACACAGATCAAATGTCAAAAATTATCCTTCTGACTTGCACTTAGTCCTCACACTGTCATTTAACAGCTAGTTATGTTGAGTCTTCCACTCTTATTATTATTTTTTCACATGTCCCTCACAGGGCACCGTGCACATCTGGTGCTGAATCCAAAAATGATAAACTATGTAGGCTATAAATAAGACATAATAACAGGAGCATCTGACATTGTTGAAAGCACCCAGTGGTGCCAATAGAAAAGACTGTTGTTCAGAGAGATAAGGGTAATTTTGAGAAGATATGGAAAATCATGAGATAATATGAGTCGCGTGATTGATGCTGCTAATTTTAAGATGCTCTCCTGTCTAATTATTGTTGTGGTGTCATTTCTTTAAAGTAAACTACATTATCAGCATTATTTTTAGGATAGGTCCTATGTGATTGTTTAAAATGTGACACACTTTAGTGCTTGAGAGTGATTAACAAATAAGTTGTGCCTGAAGTATTTAAATCTGTGGTTTGAGAGTGAAATAGTGTGAAGAGCAGAGAGAAGAATCTGGTGAGCGTGATGATCTTAATTATTCCCACATGCTCCTCTAGGCACCTGACAACACTCTCACAGCTCAGAATCACACACAGCCTCACACACGTCTCCAAAATATACATTAGATTGGTCACACTGCCACACAGACGAACTAAAAACATGCAGCGTAGTGCACATACAGCACACACACACATATGTACAAAGCTGTCTACTGACCCCACTTCCTCACTCCTCATCAGTGCCTCTTTGTCCAGCCCCCCCCCCCCCTTACTCCACACACACATTCTGGGACACACACTCCCTCCAAGTTCTGAGACACATGAGTAAATTTGCTGTGGTGTTCAACAGTGTTGACATAATTTATTGGTGAAAGAGACCTCTGTGCCTTACTGTTGAGACATTAACGTATGTACTGACTGCACAGGTCAATGAGAGAGAGAGAGAGAGAGAGAGAGAGAGAGAGAGACCTGTGATACTGCTCTCTCTCTTCTTGTCACCTCTTTTTATATTGTCTGTCACTCCATGAAAGTAAAGTGTTAATTGTTCTTCTGTTCTGGTTAAATACAACTTGGTCATTTTATAAAGCAGGAATGTCTATAATTTTACATATTTTCTGTTTCATATCATCATAGATTGAAAAGCTTTGTGTTTTGGGCTTTCAGTTGAAAAGAATAGAAGACATCACCTTGGGCTCTGGCTGATAATCATGTGCATCTTTCCCAATTTTCTGATATTTTATTGACAAAATGTTTGGTTTATTATTTGAAGAAATAATCTAAGAATAATTGATAATGAAAATTCTTTGCAGCTCTAAATAAATATACAGAATAATGTAAACAAATGACGATGGCATTCAGACTCTATCTAGGTAAGTCTTACTTTAAGTCTGGGAATTCATTAAGTGAAAGTTCAACAAACATCAGCTACCATTTTAAAATGTCAGAACATCCCTTTTTGGAAAGAAAGATGATGTTAAATACAGGAGGTGATTGAGGGAGGAGGAGGAGGAAGACTGACGGCCGGAAAGTGGAACAGTGCATGAAGAGTATAGCTTCAGTCCAAGCAAAGCACAAAATAATTTTCTGCCAGAACCCTCCCTGAACCACACGGCTGCAGCTGAACCCATCAAACAGCTGACACAGTAAAGACGTTTCTGATGTTTCCTCTCGTCAAGGCCTCAGTGTAAAGATGAATCTCTCTCACACGAATCTTCCAGCTCACATTAATGTTATATAAAAAAAAATGAAATGAAAATTTCAGTTCCACTGGTTTTGGGAATAAATGTTAAACTGTAATGGATAGAAAGTGAAAAAGTAGTGATGGTGGAAAGGAAGGGGATGGAAGATATGTAAACGGAAAAGAGAGAGAAGTGGAACAAGGAAATGGGTTGGGGGGGGTGGAAGGAGAGATGTGGTGATAAATAAACGAATAATGGTTTGGAAATGAGTATGGAAAAGAAGGAGAGGAACGAATAGAGAACTGAGGGAATGGAGGCTCACAGAAGTGGAGGAAAGTCATAGAGGAGGTAATGGAGGATTGAAGAGAGGAATAGAAGAATAGATGAAGAAATGCAAGAAGGAGCAAAGGAGTTGAGTTAAAAAATGGTGGGAAGCATGGAGGGAGAAGAGAAAAAAGTGGGAGTTGGAGGACTGCAGCACCATTAAAAATGAGGCAGAAATCAGAGTAGAGGAAGGAAAGATATAATGAAGGGGGGAATGGAATAAGAAGCATTCAGGGAGAAAGGGTGCTAAGAATAAAGACAGGAGAGAGGCATGAGCGAGGGGAAGTGGAGAAATACAGACAGACAGGAAAGAAAATAGGAGTGAGGGGAAGAATGAAGGGAGGGATAGGAAACTAGACATATAAAAGGAGGTATTGAGGGAAAATGTGGTTAAAGGAATTGAAGAAGGTGTGCAGAGAGAATGGAGAAAGAAATGAAAGTCTGGGTGGAATGGATGAAAAGGAAGAGGGACCAGAAGAATGGTGGAAAAAAGGCAGGAGTAGTGGAGGGCAGGAACCCAGGTGCAAAGTGTTGGGCAGTCTGGATTTCCTGTCTGTCAGGTAGAAGTACAGCAACTACAATATCCTCTGTGTTGAAACAATTACCACCAGTGTTTTTGGGCCTATAAAATGTCAGCCGTGTGTGTGTGTGTGTGAGAGAGAGAGAGAGAGAGAGAGAGAGAGAGAGCAGACAGGAAGTGAGCTAGCAGCAGAAAAAGCTGGCTCACACCCTCCAGATACCACCAACCGGCTGCTGTAGGGGAACATAACTCATCTCCAGAGCTTTGCAAAATGTGATGTTTGGCCTAGAAAGGGATCGTGATGCTGCTGAAAGGCCTGCTGACACGCAGCAGCAGGATTTAGCGTCTGAACAAACCGCCTGTGCTGTTGTACGAGAGCTTGCTGAGGAGTGAATTGCTCACTTGTAAACGTAGCTTTTTCTCTTTGCCATTAATCTGTACAGCAAGTGTTAAACCGATCATTAACACACATACACACATGCAGGGATGACGACAACACATTTAACATCTCAGGGGATTCAGAGACGTGTGTGTGTGTACAAACATCACTTTCACACAGCCCTCAGCAATGATGACCTGACTGGAGTCTGTGGACTCCAGTCATGTCAGACATGTCAGGACACAAACATGTATTTACTTTCCTGACAAAGAATCAGACTGTAATGTTTCTGCAGGTACACCGTGTGTCTGTGCTGCTCTGTTTATATGAACCTTAAAGAAGCAGACCAGTAGTTCTGTATGTTTTAGCCCATTAACCACAAATTACCTGCACTTCACATTAACTGCTGACCATTTCCAAAGCATATGCTCAGTTGTCAGATTTATTTCCGAGCCAAGTACACAAAGTCTTGCACACTTGACACATCACAGTAAGTTTTTTTTTGTTTGTTTTGTAAAATTGTCAGATAGCCCCTCTCTCTCTCATTGACCTGTGCAGTCAGTACATACGTTAATGTCTCAACAGTAAGTTGCTGAAGTTCAATATCTTACATTTCACTCAGCGTTAGTGCTTCCCAGAAGCACATTTTTCCAAAAAGTCCTGCTCTGAAGACAAGACAATTAATTATTACACATTACTGATGTTAAGTGGCTTCAAATCTTGATGTTTGTCTCATTGAAAGCAAAATAAACTGATGGCTGCTTGGAAGCTATAAAACACAATTATTAATGAAAAAAACCAACAAAAAGCATTGCGAAAGGATTCAGCTTAATCCTTTAACATTTTCTATGGTAAGTTTTTACATTGTTTGGTATGTTTGTTTCCTGGAGGAAACATTCTATATCTGTGATCTTAAATAGTGAAAATGCATTTATTGGTATATTTTCACCTGGGATCTCCCTGTCACATATTTCTGCAGGCTCTTACACTGTACATTTGATATTCATTTGTTTGTTTTTTTATATTTATATATATTTATTATACCGTCACTGTCACATTCCTATTAGAGTTTATAGCGTGTCTGATAGTGTCTAGTGATCTTACCATATTTCTACATGAACAAGGGGAAGTGGAGAAATACAGAGTACTCACATAAATATCACACACACCTGTCTGTTTCCCCTGAGTAGCAAATTAAATATTTACTTGGCAGTGATGTGTGTGTTTGTGGTTTGGTCTTATTGGCTGGTGTTACCCTGCAGTCCTCCAGGGATCTCTCTCTCTGTCTCTCTCTCTCACACACACACACTCGCACACGCACACACACAACGACAACTTCTGAAACAAACATGAAGATTATTCTCTTTATCCTTAAAACCAATGTCGTCTTTGCTGCTGCCTGGGACTGCGTTGTTTAGTCTGTTCAGTTTTACTAAACCAATTACAAGCTAAAGTTGATAAGTCCTGGTAATTTGGATCCATTAGTGACTATCGTCCCGACACAGCAGGCAACTTACATAGATTAAACTTTCTTCTATTTGTTATAGGTTGTGAAAGGAAAAGGGGTAGGCTAGTGCTGAGAAGTATACTCTTTATCCTGAAAAGTTAAAGCAGTTAGAGAAGGATCTTGATGTAAAGAAGAGTCTGCTTTTCTTTGTTTCTGCTAAATTTAATTTGTATGGCTTAGTGTTTGATTTTGTGGCGAATTCCTGTAAAATAAAACAAAATCCATCTTCTATCTCTTTCTTCCTAGCTTTATTTTTATCTTTATTCAGTACATTTTGTTGACCTGTACTTTTAGGTTTGCAACTTTAAGCAAGCTTAAACTTTTTTAGATTTAAATTAAAGATACATTTAAAAATGGCTCATTTGGTGAAAATATAGCATGGATACAACATTCAGCAAAAGTTGAATGAGTCAAAATATGTCAAATCTTACAGAGGATTATGTTGAATAAAACCGATTAAAAAAAGGCAGAGCCAAAGGCTAATAAATTAGAATCAATATATAAAAGAACTAGTTCTTTTATGTCTTATTTTATTATAGTTGAGCCCATGTATATGGGATTTTCCCAAAATACTGATAATTACAAGCTAATAATGATTACAGAAGACAGACTTTTGTATTGTATGTAGCTTACATTATATACTTTATAAATACGTGCTTGAAGTGGAGTGGTTATTTTGTAATTTAAAACACTTTCAAGCTTTACACTAAACTCAGTGTTTTCAGGCACAAACCCAAAAATGTAAATTAACTTATACTTAACTAGTAGCCTATAGTTAGCAGTTGTTGTGACCATAACCCTCAGCTTCAAATAAAACACCTGCAATGGAGACAGAACACAAACCTTTCTGACTCCCTAGTTCTAGTAAACAGGACACTTTATGAAGTTAGTCTGGGTCTTACCGCTGTTCTGTCGGTCTGAAGCGACCCTGGGAGCAGGAAGACGAGCAGAGCCCGGCAGGTGAAGGTGAGCTCGAGCTTCATCCCTGCCACAGCGACCACGCGCCTTTTTCTCTTGTAGTTCCGAGGCTTCAAAGCGCAGCAGTGCGCGCGGAGCGGCCGCAGCCGGTCTGTGGATGTTAACTATGAGACGCGATCGAAACAAAGACCGGGTCAGGTCACGACTTCGCCGTCACCTCTTCAGACGTCACAGAGCTGCTCATGTTGTTGTGTAGTGGTCTCGAGCTGTTTCTACAAGAGACCGCGCGTAAGAGCAAGTCCAAGTGCCGGCTGCTGCACGCGCAAATCACTCTCTCCCCGCCACAAAGTACGCCCACTGCTAATTTCCGGTGCACGTGCCTTAAACCAGCTGAACAAATGATGTCTTTTTTGACATGCTTTTATTAAAACATTAAAATAACTTTTGTTTTACCAACAGAGGGAATGGTCTACTACTGTCCATCTATACATGTCGCCTAAAGTTTGCGCACTCATCACACCACATGTACCTTTTCATTACAGTAAAAGTCACTTGTGAAAGCTTAATTACAAACTCAGACTGATTAAAAGTTAAAGTTGAAAAGTGTGTCACATTTTCACTTTTATGCAAACTCCACAAACCTTTCTGACTTCCTAGTTTTAGTAAACAGGGCACTTTATGAAGTTAGTCTGGGTCTTATGTAGAATTAATGATGCGAACATTTGTATTTACACAAAGGTTACACCGTCGACCCTGACTCTGCTCAATGTACCACTCCATTTTTGATAATCATATCAAATTCTCATCTTTCCTAGAGAGTTGTAGAGTTTTCAATTACAATTTACGAGAGGATCTTTTCAATTTCCAAAATTCTGAACCCTTTTAATAAATAGTGATGAACACTACACACTGCAAACTGCTAATGTCACATCAAACCTGGTATGACCATTTGAGATAAAAACCAATAAGAGTCCATTCAAACAGAATATGAAGGGGAACTCAAACTTTCTGCAGCCTGTGGTCTTAATCACCAGCCAATCATATAGACCAGCACTGACAGGACACACCTACATACGCATGCGCGCGCACACACACACGCACGCGCGCGCACACACACACACACACACACACACACACACACACACACACACACACACACACACACACACACACACACACACACACACACACAAAACACAAAAGACAAGAAGAGGTATTTTGTAAGGAAACTTTTATGTGTGCTTTGTGAAACTCACTTATCATTAGAGACAGAAGGCGTTGCAGTTTCCAGTACAGCAGATAAGGTTTGATATTAAAGAGTACAAAAAAAAGGAAAATCACAATTCCAGAGTTCATTTCTCTCCAACCTCGCAGGGAAAAAAAGAGAAATTAAAAAGAAACAAGCTTTTGGTCCAAGTCTTTTCTTCTCAGTTCCTTCCCTGTTTGTCCCTCCCTCTGTCTCCCCCTCCTCTCCCCCTGACAGCCAACAAACATGGAGAAATCTGCTCTCCTCTGTTTAATTTAGACAGGGAACTTTCGCAGAAAGGGCCTGATCAAATCCCACCATCTTTCCCCAGAACTCAGATATTCATCACATTATGATTGCATAGTTTTTTTTTTTTTTTACATAACAATTTCCGTTTTTTTTTCCTATATTTTTTATTTGCACATAATGGAATGTTTACATAAAGACCCCTCCTTGATCCTTACCCTCCCTCCTTTCTTGCAGTAAATTTTCTTTCCCTTCTCTTCAGAGACAAATGAGGGGATGGAGGGATGGGGGAGAGAGGGAGCAGGAAGTGGGAGAGTGAGGTAGGGAGAGAGTAAGAGAGAAAGAGGGACAGGGCTGTACCCACCAACAGGCACATTTTTTTTTGTATGCTAATTTTTTTTTCCCATTACTTCTACCATTTTCCAAAAGTCAAATTGGGAGTGCTCCACAGTGCCATTACCATAGTAACCAAAAAAAAGAAAAAAGAAAAAAAAGATCCAGGAAGAACCTTCATTCAGTCAATCAAATGCATCCATGACATGACGTGTATATATTTCTGTATGTGTGTACGATTTCTGGTATATAAAAGTGGACTAACATCGACTACTACAGTCTTATCTATCGTATAAATGTATAGTTTCTTATTTAAATAAGCACCTGATGCCCACCCAGGAGAATAGTTTCACAGAAGCAAATATTTGTGGATAATTATGGTGTTGCCCGTCATGGGATTTATACAGGCCTTTATGCAGCCTCAACTTCATGGTTACTAACTTCTTCCATGAATATTTTCCATTGCTAAAAGAAAAAAAAAAACCTTAAGACTTCCGGTAGCTCAAACCTATCCACTGGTGAAACTGCTCTCTGTGTCGCTATCATTGGCTTTTCAATTCTTCTGTTTTGTCATTTTATTTTGTTTTATTTTTTTTTTAATAAACATCATTCTGCTTTGCACTACTGGAAAGCCTCTGATCAATTATTCTCAACAACTGGGACTGTGTGTCATTCTTTGCACTGAAAAAATAAGTATGTACAGCGCTGAGCCCCGCCCTCCCACCTGCACCAACCACCGTCCCCACCCCACCACCCACCTGCTCCAGAAAACAAAACAAAACAAAAAAAAAACCAAATAAACAAAGACAGTAGGAGGAAAGAGCTGAGGTTAAACAGGTCACCTTATCCAGCAACACGGGAATTATGGGTAAATATGTAATTTTATCTCCCCTCCCTCCCCCCTCCCCCTGACCCCCACAGCATATATCTCTCTAGGATCTAATACACAAACCTCGCCAGTCACCACGTCAAACCCCACACCGGCCCGCTCCCCGCCTGACACCCTGAACCCCCCTGGCAAGAAGAAAAAAATTATAATAAAATAAACAAAAATTAGCATAAGTATCAGATTAGCTTGTGTCCCCCCCCATGTCCTATCCCCTGTTCATCCCCTATTTGACCCAACAAAAGGCAGAGAGGGTGAAGCTATGGACCCGCACCACAGAGCAGCTGTCCCCCTGTCCCACAGCTGCCCCTGGATATGCCTGTTCATATAAAACTTTAATGAAAAATTAACCTTGATTACTCTCAATCTGTTTACGACATAATGGAGCTGGAAAACATTCGGCGGAGGCCAAACCTAACTACAGTTCAATCAACAAGCTCAGAGTCTTAAAAAAATCTGATGATTTCTAAACCGGCACACACAGGGGCACCTCACAACCACCACTCCAATTCCTCCAAACGTTCGATTCCTGGTGCCTCCCCTACGCGCAGAAGAACTCTACCTTCTTTCCCCTCTTTCTCCCCTCCCTCCCCCCTCCCCTCAACCCCTGATCTGTCCAGCCCTCCTCTTCCTCTTGCCTCCTCTACAGGTCGCTCTCTCCATACAGGGCGGTGGAGAAGGACATGTAGTCGAGGGCTCCGGGTACGGCATCAGGCCCTGCGTAGGGCGCCATGCGGGCGATACAGTACTCCGCCTGGTCGGGGGGGAGCTCCCTCCTCAGCTCCTCAGCTGTGATGTAGTTCTGATGGACACAGAGAGGGTGGTTCAGTGAGTGGGGTCCATAATTTACTTCCTGGCTCAACCACAAAACTACACCTGCAAACAATCATTTCTACAGGAACAATTCACTGACACAATTATACATACACACTCTCTCACACACACACACACACACTCACCTTATCAGCAGCCAGGATCTTGAAGGAGGCGATGACCTGGTCTGCGGTGTCCGTGTCGGTCGTTTCCGTGGACATGAAGTCAATGAAGGCCTGGAAGGTGACGGCGCCGCTGCCGTTGGGGTCCACTATGCCCATGATGCGAGCGAACTCGCTGTCGCCCTGGCAACCAAGAAAGAAAAGGTTAACCCAGGAAAGACAGCACTTTGTACTCACACACAGACGCAGACAGGATGTGACATGCAGATCTTCAAGTGTGTAAAACATCAGGACCACCATGAAATAGACTGAGCTGGTGAAATGAGGCGATCGCAGTCCCGATATTTTATATTTCCCACAATATCAGAGGGAAACACAGACAGAGGATGGCACAGACAACACACAACACTTACATACAAGTTGGATAGTCTAAATGAAAAGTGACAGTTTCCTTCAGTCTATCATCCACTAAGGCAGAAGTGCAGCAAGTACAGAAGCAACACAGACATGAGAAAATGAAACGAGCAGAAAGGAGTATCAGGGAGAGAGAGCAGGGTGTCTGCAGGTGTCCAGTCAGATTTAGGACGTTACACTTACTGACACTAACACACTGAAAACATATCAGTGATTATTTAAAAAATCTAAATTGATTTTTTACAAACCTGTGCCTGTACTGGGTTCTGGTTAAAAGGCAAAAACCTTTTCTGTAAAAAGATTTATAATATTAACAAAAAAAAAACAAAAAAAACTTCTCAAATGTATCAAATGTTCTTTTTTTCTTGGCATAAAGTTGCCGTAACAGAACTATACATACACTCAATGATGGTTTGAACAAATATGTGATTGGATAATAAGAGAACAAGACTAAGACACATTTTGGTCTGTGTCACAGTTGAACATCCAGCCTTACTCATGAATGTGTCAATTTCTCATCGGAAACATAACGGAAGAGAAAGTCGATTTGCAACTGCATTCAACACATGACGCCAAAACTCGTTTCAGGCTTTGAATTTGACGAACTAAACTGAGTTAGGATATTCTTGGACCTGCAGACACCCTGTGAGAGCATCATGCCAGCAGCAGTACCAGGCTGTTTCCCGTAGAAATGAGTAGAGCCCGGAAATCATCTGAGACCATCTGTCCTGATCGCTTCTGTGGGCCGCCACAGCACAGCAAAGGCCGGGGAGGGGCGGGGGGGGGTTGACAAGGATGAAATAAGAGAGATACAAGTGGCAGAGAGGAGGAGGAGGAATGAGAGGATGAAAAGAAAGGAGCGGATGGAAGGGTGATGACCAGAAATACAGATATCGAAAAGATGTAGAGAAAGTGAGTTATGTTTGGGGAGGTGAAAAAAAAAGAAAAAAAAGATAAAATGCACAAACAGTTAACAGAGCCAGTCTCGGAGCAAAGTAAAACCTGACAGACAGACGAGGGCGAGGTCTGCTCAGAGAGTGAGAAGGAGCCCAGTGGAGCTGAAGCAGCAACAAAGCAACAGAGACCCCCGGTGGACAAACAGGGACGCAACATCTCTGCCCTCCATGCTGATGGACTCAAACCCTGCCTGACTCACAAAGTTCATCAACAGCCTCAGAGCAGGAGCGCCGACTGATCACTGACCAGTTTTTATAAACACATGGCCTCACAACAGGTTGTCAAATTAACATAAAAAAACATGATCAAGGACACAAAAAAATTATTTAAGTACAGCAGAAAATTGGTGATGTCATGTTACGTTCAAGTGTTTTGGCAGCTGTGGGTGCAGGAAGACATCAAAGTAATTTTGGGAATATATTCAGACATAATGAATTATGTTTGTCATTTTGTTCTGGCAAAGAGGATATTTCTTTTAATAAGTGAAAAAAGGTTCTGCATTTTGCCTGGTAAATGTTTTTCATCTGAAAATTAGCAATCCAGTTTTATTTATATTCCAGCTGTTTTGTCTACAGTGAATTCAATAGCAGAGATTCTGATCTTTTAAAGACAGACTTCACTATCTCACGTTTGTTGAAGGTGTATGTTACAAGTTACAGAACTAACCAGTAAAGATATGGCTTTCATGAACAACAAAATCTCCATATGATGTGTGAAGTTCATATTCACTGTGTTGTAATGCAGATAAGTGAACTGGTTTAACAGACAAACACTGTTTCTACTCAAAACACCTTCACAAACATTAAATGGCATAAACGAGGTCTGTTTTAAGAAAAGACTCAAAACCAGGAGAAATCATAAAACCTGTACAATCCAGATTAGTGCCAAAATGATTTGTCATTGATTAAATTAACAAAAAATAAAATCAACTATTTTGATAAATGATTCCATCAAGTTATTAAGTAACATTTTATATATCATGTATTTATGATATTAATCAAGGAACTAAAATTACTGCCTCATGGTTGTTCGCCTCCACCAACCAGTCTAGTTGCAGCTTACATCCATGTCCGTCCAATGTTTCATTAGTGTAGGAATTCGATTTATGGCAGAAGCATAAAAAAATGATAGTGTAAAAACATCAATAATGATAAATAATCAATAGCTTCAGCTCTGTTTGAGAGAAAACGTGTTGAGGAGGTGAATGTGACTGGCAGTGATCTCTGCTCTGCTCTCCTGCTCACAGGCCTGACAAACACCGACTCTTTCCCTCCGTCCTGTCCTGGAGCTCCTACCTGCTTGTCGTTCTCCACATCGTAGCCCAGACTGATCAAACAGGCCTTGAACTCCTCGGCCATCAGGGCCCCACTGTGGTCCTGAGATCAGCCAAACACCCAATGACAGAGCGCCACGTCATGAGGATGAACCAATCGCAACACAGGGATGGTGGTGGATGGTGGTGGATGGTGACCATGCGATCCACAGCATGCAAGGAGAAGATGAGGACAACGGAGGACGCACGGACAGACAGACATTCACGGATGTTTAGACAATGTCAACACACACAACTCAACAGGCAAACAAGATGGACCTGTGAAGACCAACACACTGAAAATAATTGGACACTTTTTCAACACATGCACACGTGTCTGTATGAGACAACACATGGGAGTTATTTCTGAAAATACATTGAAAAGTTACATTAAAAATTCATGTCGCAAACTCAAATGCTTTCTGATTAATAATTGAGTAGGATAATAGTAACTGGGCTACATTAATGGGCGACATAATAACACCTAATAACACCTATTAAAAGAGGTTAATATGTTAACGTCTTTCCGTGTGGCATTCCTAAAAATTTAAAAGATTGTGATTCTGAGGTATTCAAAGATGTGTTGTGCACCCAGACACACCGATGTGATAAAAAAAAAAAGACTGGAGTGACCACAGCTGGATGGGTAAGTGACCACAGAATCCTGGAGTGTTGGTGAAACACCATAACAGACAGTAACATGAACCAGTGACTGACACACACACACACACAGGTGTGAGATGGTGAATGATGGGGGTGTCCTTTTCATCCTTATGAGGTTACAAGATATATGACTTGTCAGGTTTGACAATGACCACAAAACACAGATGTCTGGTGACATATTGTGCCTTTTACACCCAGTTCAGCACTAGTTCTGTACAGTGAAGCAGCTAACCTACACATACTGCCCTCAACAAGTTCATATTCCTATCAGAGCATAAATCTGTGTGACCAGGGAAAATATCTCACAAGGCAAAGTGCAACCTAAAACAGCAGATTTACAACAGAATTGATACTGTAACAATCATCTTTCAATGGAACTTAATTAACACAATCAAAGTCTTTTCTCTCACTCTGTGATTGGATTCTCTCATCATTTGCTCCGTCTCTGCTAAAATAAAGCCAATAGTGCCTGTATGTGTTGACGTACTTTCTCTTCTCTCCTCTGCTGAAACCTACACACAGCCTCTACTGACAGGCACAGAACGTGTTCTCAACATGTGCTCGCCTGTGTAAAACATCAGGGGGAATACTCACACGTTTGGTTCCTCTCTCACCCCCGGTTAATGTCTAAACATTCATTCAGTCATGTTATACATAAATATAGAAAAGGCTGTTTCCTCACATGACACAGAAAAACACAAAATGTTCAGACAGGTCCAAGAGGTCACACTATTAAAATCAACTCAGTGATTTCAGGAAATTAAGACCTCTTGGTAAACTAGTCTGAACTTGATTCTTTTGACATGATGTACAGAATATTACACACTATATAACAATAACATTTAAGCCAAGAATAAAACAAGTATTTGGGTTGAGAGCTAAAGGTGATCTTTTATATATTAGCATGTATCTGTATTTACTGGTATAAAGTGACATGCATGCATGTGTCACATGTGCCACGACATATGTATGTATTGGTATGGATGTTTTATTGAGCTAAATTTTTATATGAACATTTAAATCAATACTTTGGTATATATGCTCAGGTATAACTATGTTAAAACAATACCAAAAAAAAAAAAAAAAAGATACTTCCCTTCCAACCCAAATACTCACACACCTGACAGTAACATTAACGATATGACATAGTAAGTACAAAAAACAGGTGTAGTAAACAGAGCTCGGGCCCCTGACCTTGTCAAAGTGGTTGAAGGAGGCACGGTACTCGTAGAGCTGCTCCTGGCTGATGCCCTTGGCGTCACGCGTCAGGATCTGGTTCTCGACCTCATTGATGGTCCTGGCGATAGTGGTCAGCAGCTGCTCCCAGCCCACACGGAGGTGCTGCAGGGAGGGGGAGAGAAAAAGGAGGGAACAAGGGAGAGAGGGAGTGGAAGAAGGAAACGTGTTACAGCGTCTTCAGCACTGACAGCAGCAAAGGAACAAACATTGAAGAAAACGAGCAGCTCTTACGTGCTTTACCAATAACTTCAAAAAGATGTACAAAGACACCATGTGGACCGTGATGAATGAACAGTTGAGCTCATGAAGGTCTTTGGTGTGTGTGTGTGTGTGTGTGTGTGTGTGTGTGTGTGTGTGTGTGTGTGTGAGAGTGAGAGAGAGACGGAGAGTGTGTTACCTCCATTGTGTAGGAAGTGTACTGGTTGTCGAAGATGAGGGCCTCCTGGATGAGCTGGTGGAATCCCTCCAGCTTGTTGATCTCAGGCATGTAGGACATGATGTTCGTCTGGTACTCCTTCAGGTTGGTCAGCTGGTCCTCCAGAGTGCCGTTCATTTCAATGGATATCCTGCCAATTTCCTGCCGACGCAAACACACACTATTTTACTGTCCTGTTGACCTCAACCTGTTGAACCTACAGTTCACACGCAGCACAGTGGGGAATCTTATGAGGACACTGAAGCAAGACTCCATCCGTTTATAAAAAAGTCTTCAACCGTCTCTGTGAAACAATATTGGTGACCAGAACCTCACTGATGAGTACATCACTACTGGTGTTCACAGCGACAAGTTGCAGCAGAGGAAGCCTGAACGTAAAGACTGTCATGTGTGCTCCAAGGCTGTCTGACTGTGGCGTCAATCATCCACATGTTTCGTTTTGTACAGTAGGTAGAGAGAACGCCTGCAGTCCTCTTGGTGTTGTCCGTTTGTGTTGTCCTGAATAGTTGTGTGTGAAGCAGTGTGCATGAAGGCATAACAATGTAGGATATCTCTGAGCAGAGACAGATGTGTGTGAAATGTGACGCATTCCAGGCAACCCCCCAAAGATTCACCCCTCCTCTGGGACTAGTTCCTTTCCCACAGCTGTGAACTAGCTGCGAGGCCACTTGCTTCTCTCACCAGATACCAAATGTCTAGTGTTTACATTTTAAGACAATTAAAGACCTTTTTGGAGGAGGCAGAAGATAAAACTGGATTAACAAGTGACTGCTAATGGCCCTGGAGAGCCGTAATTGAGGTCCACACAGTAAAAGTAGATTGAGGCAGCAGTAGACTAGAAGACCTTTCTGTTACAGGATCTTACTCTTTAACAAAGGAATCCTTTTATAATGTTGTCAGACACTTATAACAATCTGAACCTGTCAGTGTCAAAAAAACAATACATTTTAGTGGAGGTACTTTGACACAGACTGCTGCACCTTTGATCCTCAATAGTTGACCGATTGCAAAGGTTTTTGTCCCCATCAATCATTTACACCCAAAAACATGCAACAATAACAGTGACAACTGGCTTCTATTCAACAATGTGCCCAGAGGGGGCGTGAGCGTTGACACTGCCCCTGGGAAGGCAAACAAGTCCCTCTGTCCCAAAGTTTCCCTATAAAAAAAACCAGCCTTGGAATACAACTTCAGAGTCCCTTCATTCCTTTGTTGCTTGTTCTACCCCAGTTCAAGTTATTTCTATTCTTAAGTTAAATTAAGTTGTGCCTTACAGACACTCTTGACTGATCACCCAGAGAAATGGTTGTTAGTTTTATTGACTGACTGATTGATGGACGAATAATTAAAAAAGTTCCACGTGATGATTCTGATTAACACCATATTTCCCCAAATTGAGCTAATTTTCCCTAAAACAGGGATTTAATCCAAAACTAGCGACTAATCAGAATAGTAAGTAAATAAAGACTATGAATAAGCAAAATTAGAAACATGCACAGAGGAGTTGACCTATCTGAAACTCGTGACTTGTGCCAGTCCAAACTCTAAGAATGGTCCAGCACGAAAGCTCCTAAATCTCTGTGAGCTCTATGAGCTCACTGTTTTACAATGTTGGCCTGAAAACTGTGACAAACTACACACAGCTGAGCAAAGATAAACTGCTTCAACACAATGGTGAGCACTTGGACTGTTCACATGGGCTAATCCATTACCTCCATTTTGTCCTGTATGTAGGCACCGACCGCGTTGGCCTGAGTGGCAAACTTGGCTCTCAGAGTGTCGTTGGAGTTCTGCTTGTTCAGCTCCTCCTGCAGGGCGTTGTCACGCAGTGGCACCATCGCCATTGCCTACGCACAGACGCACACACACACACATTGTAAAACACTAAGAACTGTAATATAAAGCATCTGTAGCTGCACCTACACACACAAAGCACCAGCAATCTGTAGCTCACTGTACTTATGTTGGCAAATATTGCTCTATGCAAATAAGTCAAAAATGTGTTTTTCATTTCTAAATACATTTTGGACAAGGATTCTTTCTCATGGACACTAAAAGCATTTTAGGGCAAAAAAACATTCTTGTGAGAAAGATTCAGGCATAAACAAGAGTAAAACGTCCTCCTAGCAGAAGATATCAAAAGATCAAAATCTAAGATCACTATATTTATGATTTCTAATACATCAAGCAAACAAAAACTAGAGGTGATAAGGCCACACACACACACACACACGCACACAGACACACGCACACACCTTCTGATTATGAGGAAGCTCAGACAGCAACCTACCTTTTCCCATTTGCTGTCGATGCTCTCAGGTGTGATGGTGGTGTAGGGGTTTGCTCCACTCAGCTTGATGCCGTTGCTCTGGGCGATCTTCTGCACCTCGGCCTGGATGGACTGGATGGCCTCTCGTTCCTTGTTGGCCTCTGACAGGGTGGACTTGAACTGCTCATGGGCTGTGATCAGACCCTGAGGGAGGAAACATGTTTGGTTTTAAATCCAACAGACAGGATGTCAGATATAGTTTACATCTTTGTGTGTTGTTGTCTGCCTTGTTTGGAGATATAAATGTTCATTTGCTGGACTCATTTTTGCTTTGTTTTTATGATTTGTATAATGTGTTGCATGTGTCTGGACCACACTGTCCAGTTTCCAGTTACCTGAATCTCTTCAATATTGTGGACAATGAACATGTCCTGCAGGTCCTCCATAGCTCCCTCCATCCAGTTGTTGAAGGGCGCCGCTCTCTTGGCGTACTCCAGGTAAAGCTCATCTATCGACTCCAGCTGCTTCTCTGTCCTCTGTTGGCAACATAACACAGAAGAGGGGTTTATTAATGTGCTGCTGTTAGTGCTTGATACTCACAGCTGTTCTAAGACAGATTAAGTATTTGCTGATGCTTTATTAGGTATTAGGGCTGAGTATCATTTGAATTGTTCTATGCTTGTGATGATAAAATGCCTGATCTTTATGAACATGTTTTTCTACTGATTCCTTTTACCAGTGAGAGATGTGTCAGTTTCCCATGATCTTACAGAAGTCAGCCATGTGAGGAGCTTTGTTTCTTATCGTTTCATCAACATCTGCTCAGAGTCTCTGGTACCAAACACACATAACAGACGGACATGCAATGATGAGATCACAGACAGAGTCATACCTCCAGTGACTCTTTGCGGCTCTGGGTGAGGGCTCCCAGGACGTCCCACTGATCGCAGATCTTCTGACAGCGAGCGTTGACACTGGCAGAGTCGTAATAGTCCAGCTCGCTGGAAAACACACAGAAGAAGAGAGCAGTTTACAGGCTTCACCAAACTTATCCACAGATCCATGATTCACTGACAAAAAGGCACAAGGTTTTTCTTTCTACTAATGTCACTGTTATATACAATATATATGGAGTCAGGTTCCCAGCTGCTCCTCTTTATTTTCTCCCTCCTTACTTGAGCTCCTGTGCGATGGCGGCAATCTGCTCTACTCTGTCCTGATGTGCTGCCAGGTCGCTCTCAAATGCCTCGTGTTTCCGTAGCAACGCCTTGACCTCTGACAGGGTGGAAGTCTCGTAGTCTTTCTGGGTCAGCATGGCCTCCTTACCTGCACACATGTCAAAATTATTTACTCACCTAAAATTTCATCATCCTAGCAGTCACACTATGACTGTCAGTCTCTTCAATGTCAAAGAGAAGAAGCCAACAAAACAACAACAACAGGATACTTGAGAAAATAGGTGGAAAATTTGTACTTTGTGTGTTAGCCACTTTGGGCCATGTCTAAAATATCACCCGCTCTCTTTATGAGAAAGACTGACTGGTTGAATAAAGATCAAAGCTATGTTCTGTTTGTTTATTCACTCCAGTTTAATAAAAAGGTGCAGCAGGATGAAGAAGACAAACATTTGAAGAGAGATTCTTCATCTTGAAATTGAGGCATGATTGTTTTTTCGAAAAACAAGAGCAAACTTGATACCAGAAAGGTGACTGAAAAAGTTGTTCATCCTGTGCGAATGTGTGTGATTGTTATGGCTATAGAGATCATATGGAAAACAGAATTTAGATCACAGGTTCCCCAGCTCATCAGGAACAATGTGATGCACCTGGGATCTCCCTCAGCTGGTGGCAATCAGCTGAGAATCGCAATCTGCTGGGAGGTTATATGAGGACGTTTAGTTTCCTTGTTTATTTGGGTTGTTTGCTGTCAGAGGGACAACACCTTCAGTTGGTTCTCTGAGCTTTGTGTTGCTGGTTTTGCCTATTCTACAAATTTCTCATTTGGCCATTTTTATTTACCCCCCCTTCTCTGTGACTTCCATTATCTTTTGGTTAAGGTCCAATTCTTCTGTTACTCTATCCTTTTGATAGATGTAGTGGGTCATGGTTGGGAACTAAATTCCCATAGTTACCTTTTAGAACCCAAGGACCCATTTTGTTATGGTGTTTTGTTGCAGTGCTTAGGATTTGTTTTTGTTTTTTTTTACCATCAGTCCAGGATTCATGGATGGCAGCCTTCTGGTGGAACTTCTCTGCCAGGTGCTCCAGTCTCTCCAGACGTCTGATCTCACTGAGAATCCACTCCTCATAGCCTTTTTCTGCTCCTTCCAGAGTGTGCCATGCTCCGTTGATATCCTGAGACCAGAGAGCAGGAATTACTGATACAAGTCCTTCACTGCAGAATACAGTGTGGCATCTGTTTCTTTGCCTGCATAGTTAATGTACAGTAGAATAAGACCTCCCTCCCACTGCTGTAAATCATTTGAAATTGAACTGTACAGAAAAGTATGAATGAAATGGTGTGAAACTAAACTGAACTTGAGGCTGATCCAGGATCATATAACTGCAAAGGGAAACTTTTTGAATCTGAGGACTTTAACATTAATATAATATTGTTAAAATGGCTCAAGCACAACGCTGCTTATCAACATACCTGGTATAAGATCATTTTTTACTTTCATATTTGACAGCAAAGAGCATTTTTTATGAAACGTGACTGCATGTGACTTTGACCTTAGCCGGTGGTGAGAGAGGGGACTGAAGACCTGGCATAAATCAATCACAACAAATAACATAAGACTGTGAGGCCTCAGTTAGCGAGGACGAGTTTCTCACGTATCCACTTTATGATTGTGACTGAAACAAAAACAATAATTTTACATTTAAAAAAATCTTTTTTAATTCCAGGTTTAAGTGTAGTGGTGAATCAGACTTGTCATATCAGTATATTTGCACATTCATTTGTTTGGAATACGAATTCCAAATTATCTGCAACAAACAAGCAAAACATTCAAACGTCTCCGGACTTTGAAAAGTTGTCATTCAGATTTACATGGTCGTTTATGAGCTAATGAGTTATATAAATTCTGTCTGAATACATACAGACACCATGCGTCCTTCTGAGGGCATGAAGGCAGGTCTGTTGCTGAGTCTCAGTTTAGTCTGCAGAGTGTTGAAGCTGATCTCCAGCTGACATTTCTCTTGGACCTGAAGACGGGAAGAGAAAAGTTGGCTCAGTGTTAGTGAGCAGATTCAGCAAACAAAAACCTCTTACCTCGTCAAATGACACAAGCGAGCGGATGTAAAGACGAACTACTGAACACCAGTGTGGCAACATTCGAAAACTGCAGAGAGCAAGTGAACGTAAACCTTTGGTGGTTTGTGGACACAGCGGTAGTCTCGGAAGTCCTCCTGTTTCGCTTGCATGTCGTTTACAGTTTTCTCTTGGGTCCGGTTCTCCAGCCAGGGGATGGTCCGACGGATCCACTCCAGCAGCTGGAGGCAGAGGGGGAAACAAGGAGACACAAGTCAGGACAAATAATCGGGTGAAACGCAATTCATTTATAAAAGTTCTTTCCACAAAGTCTCGAAAGCAAATGTAGCTTGATCACTGTATCTGAAATGTAAGGTCAGGTAAATGAATATATGGAACCCAACGGATCTAAAATCAAGAGCTCTGATCGGCACTGGTGTAAACGGGCTGAACAGTTTTGCATGTTTGTTACTCACGTCACTGGCCAGTTTCTCGTAGTCCTCCATCATCTGCTCATTCTCCTGGTTAACAGCCAGCACTTTGCAGATACGGTTTGCGGCTGTCTCAGCCTATCAGGAAACAGAGCGATGAGTCGCACTCGTAGTGACGGGATCGAACACTGTCACAGTCCACTCACTGTGCCCAAAGCTTAGTGAGAGCGTTCACTGCAGCTTCATATTTCAAACACAATGCTGCACTTTAAAGTCACTAAACCAAACATTAAATAAGTGTCTGTTGCTTTTTATTAGTAGCTCAACCTGCGATTTCATTACCACTGTTATAATAAGAGTTTTTGCTCTCCAAATTTGTGCATACAAACTCCACACACAGGCAGTGAATTGGAATAAATGTAAACACAAGTTCAGACACATGTTATTAAGAAAGTGCAAAAAGACAAAAACTCGTTGCATCTGACTAAGACAAACATGCTCTAGCTGCTGATGGTTAGTTCAATGTGCCAGAGTAAATCTGTGTGTTTTAAAGCTCCATGCTTCTCCCGTCACAACTCAGGAGTCAGTCCATACATCTAGTTACAGGTTCATGTTGCGCTGCAGTCCGCATCAGTGGGTCTGCCTAGGATATTACACTACTGTACCACTGGAAATAAAAAAACAGTACACACTTTGACATGTTGATATATTCTATACAACAAACTTCCTTTGTTTGTTCATAACAAATTTCTAATATTTCACTTTTAAGTTTAAACATGTCATATATATATACACATATATATAAAAATCATATCGTATACCAAAACATACATTTAGAGTTGACAAGTGTTAATAGCTGGAAAGAAACTGGTGAGACATTAACAAGTGTTTCCCCAAAACAGGTCTGTTTTCCCAAACCCACATCAGTATAATAATTCTTCATGTCTTATTGTTTTCCACAGGAGAAATACACATTTCTGTATGTACATGTATTTTAGATTATGATTTGTATTTAGTGAGTGTCTTCAGATGTCCAGCTGAGATATTCAGAAGAAAGTCAACGTTACACATGATCCCACTGGAAACTCCAGAGCAATTTGACACTAAAAACACCAATGACAGTCCCAGTATAGGACAGCATGGTATTCATTCAGTCTGCAAGCTCTCTGACACTCATTATAGAACATCACAGTACTGACATGAGTTTGGGAATTTAAGTCCAGACCATAAAGTAAATCTCTTTTGGAGAAACAGGGTCAATGTCCAAAGCACCGAAACAGAAGCATCGGAAAGCGTTTGTTGTTCCCATCATGATAAATATTTCCTGACTTTTTCCCTGAGTTTCTAAAACTATGCTGAAGAGCGTCTGTGCCTGTAAAACTGTAACTGACAGTCTGAATTCCTCTACAGTTGGATCCAATGAGGAGAAAGAAAAAGCAGCTGAAAAGCTCCATCTAACAAATGTTGGGGAAACATCCCAGTGCATCCCTGTGATTCGAGTCATTTTCTGATACCAGCTGATCTTTACTGCATTCCCCAGAAAACTGATCTGTCACTGTCTGGATATATGTCTCTAAAACATATGACTAATGGAAGCCCTTATATATATTTTTTTTTTGGTTTGTTTTGCTGCAGCAAAGTGTTAGTGTGAGTATGAAGCGTGAGGAGCTCACCTTCTGTGCACCAGAGAAGGCATGATAGAAGCAGGATACATAGGTCATTATGGCCTTCTCATCCGGCCTCAGCGTACCCACGATGTCTACGCATCACCCAGCAGGGCAGAGAGAGGTCGACAGAGAATGGTAAACAGAGAGAGAAAGAGACAGAGTGAAGCCGAAGCTACCCAAAGCTACACGGTCCTCGCTCCCTGCAGGGTGTGAGGGCAAAGGGAGCTGGCAAGAGTTGGTTGAGGGGGGGGAGAGAGTGGCCCCCTCTTTAGGGGACGAGGACAGGAGGACGAGTGTCCTCTTGAAGGGAGTTGTGGGACACTGAAGCCACAAGGTCACGGTCGAGACACAAACACACAAATCGGCTGTTTAATCGAGCTCATTGGGTCTGTGTCGGGATGAATCCACTCAAAGCAGCTTATTCAAACTCTGAAGCAGGTCTTTCATTTAATTTGGTTCATTTAGCACAAATCAGGCAGCACGACATGACTGCGCTGAGGTCTGAAACTACAAGACTGTGTCATCCTCTGAGCGAACTGCAGTTTGTTAGGACAGAGAAAAAACTTTAAACAACCACAACTGTCCCAGAGGAACTAAACATGTCCATTAACTGATTCACAAACATCAACAACTTTGATAATTATCAGTTATAAGAGTCAGTTATCAAATGATAAATACACTCTGGTTCCTAAATGTGAGACTCTGATACATTTTGTATGATTGCAAATCTTTGTTTGTTTATTTTACTGTTGTGCAGTACAGCTCATTTGGAGAAATCCTGCAGAGCTCAAGGAACTGGGGCATCTGTCACCATTTTATTTCAACAGTGATCCAGTAGAAAGTGCTAAAAAGTTTAGTCTGAACTTTGATAACAAATCATAAATGCTTTCTAACTCCTAATAAAATACACTGCAGTTGGAAGAGGACTTTGACACAGTTTCAGGGTCCCGGCAAATTTGAATTAGAATTTAATTTTCACAGCAGATGTTGAATAAACTGATGCTTTATGTGAACAGGATGTAAGTAAATAAAGTGGAATGCTGGAAAAAGCAGTAAGTCTGGAGATTTAAGAGTTTGTTTCTACACACAAACTTTCTCTGTAGCTACTGACTTCATGTAAATAATTCAAGGATTAGAAAGAGAACAAGCTGTACATGGAACTAGTTCTTACACACACACACGCATGCGCGCACACACACACACACACCCACACACACACACACCCACACACACACACACCCACACACACACACACACACACACACACACACGATCTGTCTATTTGTCTCACACCTCTCCCCTGAGACTGCAGAGGAACACAAACAAGTTCTGAATGAGCCAGAAAATTAATTAGAGGAAGAGGAGCAAAACAAGAGACGCATCAACTTGTTTCCTGTCACAGGCCTACAGGGAGAGGAGATGGGTGGGGAGAGGGGAGGGAAAATAAGAGAGGAGGTGGGGAAGCAGAGAAGGGAGGAGAGAATCAAGAGATGGGAGGGTAGAAAACAGGAGGAGTAGAAGAGGGAATAACAGGAAAGGACAAAATAAAACTAAACTCGCAGAATCTGTTACGGGCTTAAAGTTGAACCCCTGAACCTTCAAATGCCGACACTCTTTTCTTTACACAAGATGCTACTGTCCAGAAAGCACCAACAGGATTAGTTTACACTGCTCTTCATCTTTATCATAACTATTATCTGACTTGCAAATGTATGCCCCTCAGTCACATAACACACCTTCTCCACTCTTTGCTTTCAAAACACACCCTTAGTTGGACAGGCAACATATTAAATCAGGGGTGAGGGCTCACAAGAAGACAGTGCTTCATCTTCAGGGGTCAGAAACCAAAAGGTCACTGCTCTAAAAAGGAGGAGATCCACCCTCTACTGCTGAGGGTTCACTACTTCTTAGCACTGCTTTGTGAATATTAAGAAAAGACAATAACGCATTGCATTAAATGGAACTACTTTTTATAACTGTCGTTCATCTGTTAAGGATCTGGATCAAAACCTTTTGCAATGTCTACCTATGGAAGTGGCTTTAACATTTGTATCAGCTAGAAAACCCCCCATTCCTCTCAGCTGTATAGAAATTCTGCTGAAAACACAGACGGATGAGGTGGATGTGAATGTACAACCTGACTGTGATTAATCATTAACATCTCTACTTTATTTATTTATTTATGTATTTTTTAGGGCATTTTTATTTTATTCTGATAGCGACAGTGAGAGAGAGAGAGAGAGAGAGAGAGACAGGAACGTCAGGGGGAGAGAGAGGGGATGACACGTGGGCCACGAGTTGGACTGGAACCTAGGCCGCTGCAGTTAGGACTAAGCCTTCATGGTACACACTCTACCAGGTGAACCAATCTCTGCTTGATTTTTTTATGGATAACCTTTCCTAAAACAGCATTACCCACAGGCTCAGCTGCACTCCTCTGCAGCCTTGTCAGACTCACTGCTATGACAACACATCACAGCACCACAGAGGACAGAGCGTTTACTGCTTTCGCCAGCAAAGTTACATTAACACCGTTTGTGTGCGTTTGTGTCCCGACAAAAATCCAGTGTCTTTGTTGAAGCCCAGGTCCTAACAGCTGTTGAGAGAAGTGACGCCATGCTGGACAGGAAGCAGCCCCTTGTTAGTAACAGACGGTTAAAAGGTCAAGGTTGAGGGGTCAGAGGGTACCTTCTGTGCTCCAGAGAAGGCATGGTAGAAACTGGACACATAAGTCATTATGGCTTTCTCATCTGGACGAGCAGTGTTCACAATGTCTACAAGGCGGGGGGGAGACCATGGTTATGAACACACACACAAACACATACAGGCAAGACAGGGGACATGTGATTATACACAACATGACACACATGTAGGAACATACATTCATACATACAAGCTGGCAAACACAGACACACACGTAATAAGCCGCTGTAGCCATTAACAGCCATTCAGGATGAGGAGAGCTTGATCGTGAGTACAGGCACACACAGAATAACAATACTGTGCATACAAGGGTCAGACCCATATAGTAGTTTACTAAAACACTTCAGCAGTGAAGGAGTTTCCTTCCTGATCAAAGCTACATAAAAAGTTGAAAATAAATAGGCTTTTGTGCGTGTGTGTATTTTACATATATATCCTCATTATTATTTTAGTTTTTAGTCAATTGTCAACGTCATTTTTTTTTTTTTTTTTTATGAAATGCACTAAAATATCCCAGTGTTAGTTTCCAAACACTGGGAAATTTCAGAGTAACATCCTGCAGGGAAACACTTTAGCTTTTTTGAGAGTCATATTTTCAAATGTAAAGACTGAATATCAACAAATGACTATCTGAATATCAGCATCAGCCCCTCAGTGCCGATATTGGTCGACCCCACATACATACAGATAAAGACATTAAGACGCATTCACACATTCAGACATGTGCTTTACAATCCAAAGCATTAAAGGAGACAGAGGAGGAACAATGACATGATGGGAAGGGACGGAGGCTCCACTGATCCTGAGGATGACACCTTTTCATCTGCTGTAACAGCTCATGTACAGTAACGGGTTCAACAGTGGGTTTGGAAATCAGTGGCCACATGTACATGCACATCAACACTGTGACTGTAATGGAGGTGAGACAATAATTACATTCGCTCAAGAATGACGGTCACAATGATTGTGATCATGCTCCTGGTCGGAGAACAGCTACAGTCTTTTGCAGACATATTTATAGCTTTACAGCAAGGACGATTTAGGTGCGTTTGATTTTGTGCAATTGAAGTTACGTACACCACAACATACGGATTGGATGAGATTTATATGAAACAATCTGAACCACAGCTGTTTCAGTGTTGTGGAAATTCAAATATAAATGAGAATAATACAGGAGTAAACTACTGCCCACATACCTTATATGGGCAACAGTCACTTTGCTGTGTGCATGTAAACCCAGCCAGTTAGTGAAAACTCTTTTCATACAGTGCAGTGGATTACAGTACACACGACAATTTACAACAACGCAGTATCATTTACAAACACAGCTGGTTCACAGCACACTTCAGGCTTACCTTCTGCATCCAACATCTTAGGAATGTCCAGGTGCTTCTCAGCCACCTCGAAGGCGTTGTTCAGATTGGTCACTGGGTCATCCTAAACAACCAATCGCAGAGCCAGAAGACAATAAACTTGCTAATTAAGAATAGGTAAGTTTAGGTTTAAGTTTGTTATTGTCAGCAAGTTCAATGGGTTTTTTTTTTCTTTTATCACTGGTAAAGTGGAAGTTAACTGCTAGTTTGCTTCAATAACTTCAAATACAGTGTGTGTATGTGTCTACCTTTCTGAGGCTGTCGTAATCGATGAGATCAGGCCTGTGTCTGTGGATCAGAGCGTTGAAGGCGAGACCATCCTTCCAGCTGTTAGACAGAGAACAGATGAGGTGAGCTGATAGGCAGAGGGGGCGGTAACATGACACGAACATGAATTTTTGGCAGCGATTTGTACGTTTTTTCTGCTCTACAAGTCCCCATCATCACAGCTAGCAGCTCTAAAACTCCTCTTCACTGTGACTTTGAACTGAATCTTTAACTAAAACCACACCTCTGAAAGACAACTTTCTGTTTGTCTTGATGAAAATGCTAGTAATTAGGTTTTTGCATATAACTTGACCTTTGTATGTGCTGTATGCTGTTCATCTTCAAATGGACAGGTACCACACAACAACAGTAACCGACAGTGACAGTACATTTACTGTCATGTCAGAAAATGTGATGTGTGGATTCTTACTACTGTAGAGCAGAAAAACATGTTCCAGTTTCTCCAACAGGGGGCGACCTTTCTACACAATTACAGTAGTTTATTACAGGAATATTTTACATTGCTGAAATAGACTACTGAGATTTCATTCAGCAACACTTGTCTATGTTGGTACATAAATCCAAATTCCCAAACATATTTATTAATATACAATAGGGTGTAGCCAAGCTGCTCCCTGACAACAGAGTTCCTGTGTGTGTTCAGTGCAAATTGTGTAAATCTTTGTGTGTGTTTAACAGACCACAGTATCAGTATCTTTTTTTTTTTTTTTTACATATTGAATATTGGGAAGTTGGATCGTCCAGCTCTGACATCATGACAGTTCCTGCAGATCTCAGATAAGCATAACAAATTTTATCACTGGAGAGTTTTACTGTGCAGTATTGACTGTCAACAGCTTTGATCCAATAACACTAATGACCCTTGAAAAACTGCAATTAGTCCAACCTTATAGTGCGTGTCCATGTGTGCGTGTGTGTTACCTAATGTGGAAGTTCTGCACATTGACATTCTTGTAGGGAGCGGTCTTCCTCTGGCACCACAAGAGAAGACCCTCTTTCGCAGAGGTCTCTGCAGGGAAGAAGAAGGGGAGAAGAAACATAAGAAGACAGGAGCGGCACCAGGAGTGAGGAGAACAGGAGGTCTGCACTAGTCTGAACACAGTGAAGAAATGTCTCCTCTTTACATTGAATCAAGGGCTTTAATTGTTTTATTCCATTAAGAGTGGGCAAGCAGACAGAAAAATACTGCAGTGTCTTTCATGACTGAGCTAAATATAAACTGTGTCTGTGCTCATCAGTGGACTGAAAATACTGAGGATGTTTTTGTTGTTTGAACAAACATCAAAAAAGTATCAGTTACTGGGGAGAGTAAAAATATGACTCAATAATCCTTGTAGTGGTCCCCACCCACCGGAGTTAATTCAACTCAGACAGTTTTAATTAGCCACCACAGACTCATTACAGCTCTAACCTAAATAAATGCAGAGACAAAAAACATTGTGGAAGCAGGAAGTGGTGGAGTATAGACATATATTAGTGTTTGGGATTTCCGACTGATTAATACAGAAAGGATTGGTCGATTAATCGATTGGCTCATTATCAGAAAATTAATGAGGACGGGGATTTACTGCTGTTCTATCAATCTAAATTCACCGTCCTTGGGTTGGACATTTTTTTCAGCATTTTACAGACCAAGAAAAAAAACCGACAGATTATTTGATAATAAAAATAACTTAGTTGCAGACGTTGTTTGAAAAAGTGGTTATATCGCAAATTTTCATTGCATCAGGTTAATAATAATAATAATAATAATAATAATAATAATAACGACCACAACAACTTATACTGGTGGTCCTAGCACCCTGTTGTAGTTTCACATCATCATCAGTCTTGGTGAGCAGTCATGTAGATCAGAGCTGTTTTATCTTGGCTCTATTCCGTCACTATTCACCCCTGGTGTGCGTGTGCATCTTTAGCCTTGTTACTCCCACTCTAGTTCCCACAATGCATCCTTGACTTGCACATTCGCATGTGTGTGGAAGCACCATAGATTCCAGTGGGCTTAGTCAGCTAATAAATCCTGAAAACCTGGCAGGGACTCAAGCTGCCGCAGCGCCCTTCAGCAAGGCACTGCTTTGCCAAGTTGCTACTAGTGCTGAATGCGTTCATGCAAATCAAACCACAGGAAGTCGTACCTTCTACAGAGATGTCCTGGATGGCGAAGCGGAGGATGATGGTCCAGATCATTCCCAGAGTCATCTTGGCGTTTCCATCAACAATTTCTACACAACACACACACACAAAAAGGTCTCACCAAAATCACCTCATTTTTTGTTTCATCCAGAGTCACTGTGGACCATACGTCTCATCTATCACTGCTGTTTTTACAATCTTACATCTGCTCTTTCATTTAATAATGCCAACACTCCCACACAACTGCACTTAATGTCCCACGGCTGCTGAAGCTCCATCATTTCCTGGGAAAGTGTGAATCTTTAACAATGATTTCCCTTGTAGAATAAATTCAGTCTTGGTAGATACAACATACAGTCAGTTGGTGCTTGCAAGACACGCCTAAGCATTACTTCATTCTACCTGTGCAGCATTATCTGAGTTTTCCCACCACGATCCACAGATATTTGGCAGGTTAATGAGCACGCAAAGACGCGCAGGACAGGACAGTAAGTCATGTGCAATGATCCGTTTGTAAGCAGGCGTGTAGATTGAACTATGAGTGGAATCTGACCCAAACACACACTGAGACTATTAGTCGATTCATACTTTCACCTGTCAGCTGTCACCTGTGGATCTGTCCCACATTTTTCTCATTCTAACATTCTTCATGTTTAATCTGACATGCATCTTTGACTCTCAGCTGATTTGTACTCCGCTTAATTCATTTATACTCTTTCTGAAGGTCACATTTTAAAAACACTAATAAATTACTGTCATCGTCATTGTACATTTTTCTATATTGGTTCTGCTCTGTGAACAAACATGAATGTCTCCCCACCAACAGGCCTCGCAGTGCTTCAACTTTTCTGTAATAACTTAAAGACTTAAGTTCCTCAGGACAACTGTAAGTCTGGTCACGTGTTGGTTTAAACATTCTCTGACAGAGAAAGTGTAGGACGTCCTCCTCTCTCATCTCGTCACCACCGTCCCTCACTGTCTCTCTGTCAGTTTCCAGCAGATGACCTTTAGTGGGCTGCTTTTATGGAAGGCCAGAAGCAGCGTGCGAGTGTGTGGAGGATTGCAGTATTTTGAGCAATCTTGTGTTCAGTGGCCGTCAGTCTCAGCAATGCCATGCTGCAGGAATGTCATGTTTGTCCTGATAGAGTAGGAGAAAGGTCACTGTCCTCCATTCTGAGTACGAGTTAGAAGTGCGATCCTCAAACATCTCATTAGAAAAGAGCATCAACTCAATGTGCCAAAAAGAAACTTTAGGTAGTTATGAGAAAAAGTTACAACAGATACAGTTTTACTGTGCATACTGAGCACACTTGCATTCTGTCAATTTTAAAATGTGTTGCTGAGCATCCAAACATTCATATACTTTTACTCAGGTCACTCTGTTCTCCAAAGGCCTGGGTGAATTATGAGACAGTGGGCTCCTCGGTACAGATATGTAAACCCACAACCAATTAAACAGGTGAACCAGAACTCTTTAAACACTGCACCTGAACCTCACTTTTAAGCTAACACTGCAGATCAAGAGAGGCCAACTGACTCCTGTCCAAACCTTTCTGCCACAGCAGATCAACACTGACACTCCTATGCACACGGTATACTAAACACGACAGCACACTACACAAAATTTAAAGGACAGCACTGAAGAAAAGTAGAGATGCAGGGTCTGTACTCATGAAGCAGAGCTATCCTGCTGTTCTGAGTCTGTTATTAATGAAATGTTACTCTAGCCTCAGTTTGCTGCACAGCTATAAAATGAAGGAAAAATGAGCAAGTATTGGGTTTGATTTGGTCGACACATACTACATGTTAAAAAGACTCAAAACAAAAGTTCCTTTATTTTTTTATCTTGGGTTCAAAAGTTTATCTGAATGATTGAGAAAGATGAATGAGACGGTGGTTTCCACTCTGAGGTGTGGGGACTTTTGTGTTACATTTCGACCGTTTCAAGGTTTCTGAAGGACATGAGGAGGAGTTTCGATTTCACGCATTAAATTTTAGCGCATCCACCAGATGTGTTTGTGTGCATGAACACATGCTTACCCTCTGCTCCAATAGAGACCAGTTTCACTCCTTTGCTGGCGATGAAGTCCAGGGCTTTGTTCACATTGTTGATCTTGTGGACCCTCATCTTACCTCGCTCAGGCTTGGGTAACCTTTCGCCTGTAGATGGATGGACGGAAACACGGACACACACACACAGACACACGACACACACACACACACACACACACACACACACACACACACACACACAAGTGAGTGTGTTAGCTCCTGTGGTGTTTCTACAGGCTCAGCAGAACAACATTCAGTAAGGACGGTTAAGGTTACAGCAGCAACATTAGCGTCGCTCACAGCAGAAAAAAAATGAAGTGAATTTGAAAAAGGAAGCTGCATGCAAGTCCAAATTTCATTATGGGGTAACAGCAGTTCAAATGTTTATCTACTGTGACAACAGGAAGAGCTTCTCTAATACAACATCCAACAAGAGACCTTGAGAGGAACATTGTCATACACAGTGACTGATCTATAGCAGGGTGAGCACAGTTTGTTGTGCAATGCCTGTGATCCATACTGAGGTTGGAATCTGAGTGACCACACCCTGGCGCCGACCGAGATGTTGTACATCTTTAACATCTGAAAACAGTTTGCACTCTGACTGACAGCTCAGACACAGCTTTGAAAACCAGGTCACTGCTCGGTGACGAGCGAGCGAGTGTAGTGGGCTGGACAAATTTCCATTTGCGGCTTCTGTATGAAACATTTCAAAAACATAAATCAAATATCATTACAGCTGGCGCTTTGAGGCTGCTCAGAAAAGTTACCTGAGATGACCTCCAGCAGCAGCATGAGTTTGAGCCCATCCCTGAAGTCCTCCTCGATGTTTTCTATCTGCGTGCCGGCCTTCCGCAGGTGGGAGTTACACCATGCCGTGAATGTCTGCACGAGAACACAGAAACAGGACACAAATGGTGATTATCCAGAGCAAGAATGCTTTTCCAGCTTTTAGGATAATAAACCACTTTGAACTAAATGAAAGAAAATGAAATTCAATGGACAGGAAGGGAGGTCATGGAGTTGCTTTGATAAGACAGGAAGTAGCAGAAGAAAAGGGGAGGAGACAGATGTTATAATACAATACCAATACCTAGGATATAAGAACTACTATTGATATCAAAGTACAATTTAAACTATGCATCAAAAGGGCAGCAGAATAAGGATACAATGCACACGTTAAGGTAAAATAGTAAACACAGACTTTCTACGGCTGCTATCCATTGAATTACATATTGGCAACAACAAACATCTTGATTTCTGCCTTCATACTTTTCAGTTTGCTGTTTTTTTTCCATCTTAGTGCTCAGTCCCACAAAAAACACCCTCTCTGTCACATCAGAAGCTACCAGAGTATATCCCATGGTGACACAAAGAGCCACGTTAAGAAAATCCTGAAAATCTGACAGAAAGATCCGCCTGTACTATCTGAAAACTAGACCGGAATCAAACACAACATCTGTGATATATGTAATTAAATATCAGAATGGTGTACCAAATCACAAACACAGACATCTGGGAGAAGACGCACACCAGCACAAATCACACACATCAATAGCGGGTTGGAATCTGTGTTTTTGTGCTTGTGGTTAGCCAACATTCTTCAGAAATGTGTTTTGAATCATTTTATTTTGAAGGAGCTCGTGGCACTGAGGTAGGCACGGTGGAGTCTGTGGAGAGGCTGAAGCTTTGTCACGCCACTCTCCAAAAATCTCAGTTATGGCACATCATCAGTCAATGTGTCAAAAACACTTTGAGGGTTTCTTGTCATGATTTGTTAATTGTTATATAATTTAAGAGAAATGCCTCAAAATGCCAAGTGACCAAAATACATGGTCAAGGTCCGGCCTGCACTCTCTCATTGAAGCTGCCACCACTGATACTCAACTTCAAGAGATGAAATATATAAATAAATAACGTAAACACCCATCATATTAAAATGAAACTTTTACTTCTTAAAGCTTAAATAAGTTGAAGTTAATAACACAAATAGCAGGGATCTTTGTGTAGGTTTCAGTCAATGAAAATGAATTACGGTTGAAATCTAAACGTAGCTTTAAGGGGGAATGTCTCGTGTGTGAAGGGACGAGGAAAAAGGAAAGAGGAAAGTGGAGTTCATTTCCCAGCAAGAACGCACAGCTTGAAAATGACAAAGATAAAAGTGACGTGTTATAAGACAGAGTGGCACCACGACACCGCTTCTTAAATGTGTTGCTGCTGAAATGCTGCAGAAGATTCAGAGGTAAATAATAATAATAATAATAATAATAATAGTAACTTGTATATTCTGCAATCATTATCAAAATGAATATGAAACATTAAGTGGTTACAGCTTCTAAAATGAGAACATGTTGACTTTCTCAGTTGTATGTCTTTGTAAATTAGACCCATCTGACCATCATGACAAAACTAACAATGTGTAGACGTCACCTTGGGCTAGAGGAAATATAAAATGGGCTTTGTGACAATTTTTGGAAAGACTTATCATAAAATAATAGATGATGAAGAAAAGTAATGGTTATTTACTGAAATGTTGGAGTCAGTGGACTTTGAATTTTAGTACCAATTCACCTCATCCAGGCTGCGAACAGACCGACTCCAGCCACAAACCTACTTCCCTCTCAGTATCTGGCACGAATACAGGAATACAACAACTTTGAGGAAAATATCAGTGTTGAAACTGAAACATGTGACAGAGGATTAATCCAGTTCACGTTACACTTCCTCCTTGTCTCCCTCTCTCTCCTGCACGGTGTGTTCAAAAACATTATGACTGGGTGCTGCTCGCTGCCCTGCCCCTCTCCCCACTGGCCCACTGTGGCCACCGGCACAAAGCTCCCATTGAGCCTCGTGGATAATAGCACCCTTCAGCCCCTGTACTCTCCCTCGGCCCGTTCTCTCTCTCTGTGACCCTCCCCTAGACAGCCCGGTACCAACCCCCAACTCCAACACACATATACACACTCAATTATATATATATATACAGAGCTCCCTCTCTGAGACTGGACTGGACTGGGACAAGAGGAGGGGGAGATACATTTCACATAAACAAACAGACATACAGACAAAGTTAGGGGGCAGGATGGGGGTGGAAAGACAATGCACCCTCTACCCCCTCTACCCCCCCTCCTACACACACACACACACACACACACACACACACACACACACACACACACAGAGTTAAGGACAATGCAGCAGGAAGTGGCACTGCAATGACAGGAAGTTCCAGCTTAGTTTAGCACAGAGAAGACAATCAGCGTGAAGATGCATTCATCACTGCCACTGATTCAAATCACTGCACTGGAGCTAAAGCCTCCGGTTTGTGATTATCACAACACATCAACAACCTATTTCTTACCATAACTTATTATCTATGAAACACTTTAAAACTTATCTTGCCTGAGTTACAGTAAGATGTATGATTCATGAGTGTAATAGAGGCTTCAAGCTTTGCCTTAAAAGAGAAGTGAACACGATGAATATCTCTGATTGGTGAAGCGCTCTAAAAACAAATATCTTTAAAAAGAAAAAGTAAAATGATGGTAGGAAATGACAGGGGGATGGGATGAGCAAATCTTCCATCATTCTCTGTCTACCCTGGATGTTAATTATATAATGTCAATGCTGTCAATACTTTCATTATTTTAAAAAAAATATATATATCTGGGATTTAAATGCTCAGAGAGCCAGATACTCATCAGAGTCTAAATAACATGTTATTTTTCCATATGTCTTGCTTATGTTGTTGATGTAGTAGCCAGTTTAGCTCATCAAAACTGTGATCTGAGCCAGTGGGGAACAATGAAGGTTTCTGCACGGTGAGAAGCTTTGGATTTGAAAAGCAAGTTTAGCAATGTGAACTGTATCAGGGAGCTGCTTCACTAAACCTATAAAAGTCGGCCATGTTCCAGCAGGGCCGCTGCCACTGGGAGTGTTGACAGCAACAGGCTGAGACTCGCAGAGGGCCTGAGAACTGTATGTTCTGTGCAACATGACATGCTACAGATTATACTCTTCCAACCCCTCTGTTCACAGTCAGACCCTCACACGGTTAAGTACCGTGTGTCTTGCTCAAGGACACTTCAGCCTGCCTTTATCAGAGTTTGAACTAGCCCTGTACGCTGCCAGGAGAGGACTGTCAATCAGGCTGTTCTGGGTCTGTAACAAAAAGGGAGGGAAAAAAAAAACTTCTGCTCTGCTGAATTCTGTTCAGTTAGCTCTTTGTGTTGAGGAAACGTAGCCTGCCTCTGGCTACCTTATGTCATTCAGGGACAGCAAGGTGTGGTGCTGCCATGTGCTTGAAACTGGCACAGGCGTGCACATACAGCATTACTGCTCAGATAGACACTGAACCACACTGAGGACAGTCCAACTACATTGCCTTCAAACATGTTGAATTACATAAGGGAGTTGATACCTACAGTGCATGATATGGCTGTCAACATCAGGTACAGCATGTGACACAAACTACTGTTGACTTGATATCATGTGACTTCTCAGGCAGGTTGCTTCACAGACAACATGGACTGAGCTTTATTCCCTTCTACAAAAGGTATCATCAGCCTGTTGTCTAGAAAACTAGACAGCACAAGCATTATTTTAAATATCAGAATTTGTTTTAATTAGTTCTTAGTTTAAGCCTGACCTTGACTGGCTTTCAAATAATTCAGATAATGCAGATTTCTGTTTGTCTGTATGTAAATATCTTTAAGTTCAAGCATCTTTGCTGTCAGGTTCCCCTTTTAATTCTGAAGGTAATCTACTTGGTGAATTGTCTGAAATAGAAGTGAACTGACCCTGATTCCTGAAGAGAGCAACCAAACAGGATGAATGAGCGAGAGCGAAGCCTGTTAAACCTGTCCATGTGGCTGCTCTGTGTTGGCTACACAGATCGGCTCAGATGGTTCAGATGAGGGGATTTCTGACCTGAGCTGAGGACAGAGATAACAAGCTAAATGCTGCGTGGTACAGAGGAGAGAAAAGCTGGACCCGGGTGTTAAGAAGGTTTACATTTTAGGCATGAAGCCCTGCGCTCTTATCCTCTTGTATCTATTACATAACTGTTGTAGCCACAGTGAAGAACATCCTCTCTGTTATTTCTGCTGCATGTGTCAACTGGAACCCCAGTCTGATCTCAGGCCTGTCACTGTTTAACCTTTATCGTGCTGATGCATGTTAAAGCTGCTTTTAGCAATTTTACACACATCAGTATTTGTAAACTGAAAATTTTAATACCCAAAAGCCCTGTAATCGGATTAAAGTGCAAACTGTGAGTAAACCAGAGACAGTTTACCCATGACTATCGACCTGCTGGCTGCTAAACCTGGGGAAGTTATTAGGAGTGTTTGGTTATTTCTTGTGCGCAAACATCCACATGTAGCACCTCTGTTTTATTTCAACCAGTGGCTGTAAACGTTAAATTCTGTGGGGTCAGGATTTCTCTATCAGCATGTGTTGCAGGATGAGAAGCGGGGCGTATTTCTTCATGAAAGTCTTCACATACCAACTGTGGCTTTGATCAAAGTAAGGGTGACTCCAACTTTGATGACCTCATCTCCAGAATGTGTGGGAAAATTATTTCAGTGGTCTCCATTTGTAACAGTTATCAATTCATCTCTAAAATCACCCTTTGACCATACAAAGGTAGCATAATTAGCTCCCACTGAGTGCTTTCATTTGATTTCTATCTATGAATATCTATCAAACGTAATGGAAAAACTTCATCAAAGCAGCAATGATGATGGTGATAATGTGTCTTCTAAAAGGGGGGCACAGTGTGTGTGGTGAGCGTTCAGAAATCTTTGCTGTTTGTGTCCCAGACAAGGTGGGAGTATGTCTGGAAGTGGTTAAGTTGTCCAACGTTTCTCCTTTAATGCTGCCAC